CCTCTCGTTCCTCTCGTTCCTCTCGTTCCTCTCGTTCCTCTCGTTCCTCTCGTTCCTCTCGTTCCTCTCGTTCCTCTCGTTCCTTTTGTGCCTGCTGTAGCGTGAGTGTAGGGCACCCGTATCCGAATATGAGACGAATGTCGTTCCTAGTTGGCGGTCACGAATTCATGAATCAGCCCGATGCACTTGAGTGTCGCCACTGTCTATGCGAGAGGAGAAGGTCATTGCTCATTAGCTGTATCGTAAGAATGAACCCTTCCGCCACTCTAATAGTTCACAACACCTTTTGAGCCAGCTCAAACAGGTCAAAGAAAGCCTCCCGCTCAGTGTCAACCTTGATAAGTCCCAAGCCCAGCACGAGTGTCCTCCGATCCTCCGGTGACTGCAACGACAAGCGGCTGGCGATTTGTGCGGCGTAAAGCTGTCCGAGCGTTTCCCTGTCGTCTCCCCCACCTCCTAGGAGCGTCTTGGGCGTCAGGTGCGTGGATGGCATGAGGCCATGGCTCGCCGTAGGCAGTGTCATCTCAACGAGGCCTGCCGCAGAGCCAGTCAGCGGCACTTGCACCTAGTCGGACGTCAGCTATGTTTCGAAGGCTCAAGCCAGGGCCGGGCGCGGTCTACCCATTGTGAGAGTCGGCCCTCTTGGCTGATGGTGACGAAGATCCTGTCCGAGAAGCTCAATGACGTGACCTCGGTTGCGACGCCATTGACAAGGCCAGAGGCGCGACGACTGGGGACTGGGAAACCGTCTTCGCGCACATCTGACGACGCCATTTTGCTTCCAGTGCTGGTTCAGTGATGTGTACGGGAAGGTGTGGGACTTCTCACTTGAGCACTTGACAGGCAGGGCGCGGGTCCAGCCAGTGACCTTGGGAGGCTTCCAGGTTGCCTGGAAGGCTGGAATGGAACCTACCTAGTAGGGACCTGGAAGGGTTCCATGTTGGCGCTGGCGGCGTGCGCTGCAGTAGAGCCCCCGCACTAGTCCTAATTGGGATTGAGGTTTTGGCGGTCGCGGGCGGCAGAATCGGCGCAAGCCAAAAAATGTCGAAGAGCGCCGCCGATGTGGTTCGCGCTCGTCCTGTCCGAATAAAATATTCAGGATCCGGCTCTGCGAAGTCAATATGTCCTCCGGTCTCCGCCTGTCCTGTGGTGGCCGGGACTAAGAGACGTCGCTCCCTCACGTGACGAGGCGTCCACAGCATCGACAACCTGCAATTCGTACCAGACGTCCTGCTAGTCCCTCCTGCAACCTGCAGCGACAGACACACAAAAATGGCCAAATTCGTCCCGCGACAGCGGAAGCACAAGGTGCTCGCGCGCCAAAAAGCCAACGAAAATGCTCGCCACGAAGTCCAAGACACCAATCAGGAGCTGCTCCCGGCCGAGAGGAAGGCACTCGAGGACAAGGAGAAGAGGGAACGCATGAAAGACGAGCTGCGCCAGGATGGCGTCAAAGTCAGCGGCAAAAAGGCCAAGCGTCTCGAAAAGTACATCGACAACAAGCTGCGCAAGGATGAGAACCGCGATTTGCTGGCGAAGCTAGCTGCACGAAAAGTCGACACAAGCCTCTTCTCGAGCAGCAGGTCCCTAGGGCAAGGCCGCGAGACGAAGAAGCAGCTGATCTCACGTGCATTGCGAGAGAAGCGCGCCGGCATTGAAGGCGAAGAGGTCGACGACGTACTCTTTGAGCAGCGGGAGGTAGACGAACCGGACAGCGACGAATCCGACGCCGACTTGGGCGGCGCCAAACTCGACGAGACGACACCGATCGAACGAGATTCAGAGCGTGCTGCTGCCTCTATGACGCCGCAAGCCGCCCCCGTTGCTATCGGCTCGGGCCTCAAGCGGCCGCTCGACGTCGACGACGAGGGTAGACCGGTCATCAAGAAGAGACAGAAAAGAGGCGGTGTCAAATCCAAAATACACGCCCTTCCCCCGCAGCCTTTCATTTATGGCGAAGACGGCGAAGACGATTCCGAAGGCGATTCAGAAGGCGATTCCGAGGACGAAGAATGGCAAGGGTTCAGCGACGCCGAGGCAAAGACCAAAGAGGCTGATGGAACTGCGTCAGAGGCGACCGACGACAGTGACGACTCCGACGCCGAGTCCAGCGATGAAAGCTCCAACGAGTCCGCGGATGGCAATGAAGATGGAGCTCCGAGGCAATCAGCCTTCAAGAGCTGGGCTCTGCGACAACGCAACGAAGCCCTCGGCTTTCAGCCTGCCAGTGCCACGACGACGGCCCTACAAATACCAAAGCCCGATAATTTTGTGCCACGCGCACCCGAGCAGGATCCTCTTCCGATGGAGCTGAAACCTGGGACAAGGACCGACCGGAAAGTATACAGCGTCACAGTCACGAGAACTCCGACGATTCATGAGGCCCGACTGCAGCTTCCTGTTGTCTCCGAAGAACAGCGACTGATGGAGGCCATCCATAACAACGACATCGTGGTCATTTGCGGTGCGACGGGTTCCGGTAAGACGACGCAAGTACCTCAGTTCTTGTATGAAGCGGGCTACGGAACCCCGGATTCGCCTACCCCTGGTCTGATTGGCATCACTCAGCCGCGCCGAGTTGCTGCGGTCAGTATGGCTAAGCGAGTTTCTGAGGAACTGGGCGATCATTCCAAGTCGGTGGCGTACCAGATCCGATTCGAAGGCACCGTCGATGCCAACACGGCCATCAAGTTCATGACCGATGGTGTATTGCTGCGGGAAGTTGCACAGGACATCACTCTACGCAAATACTCCGCCATCATCATTGATGAGGCCCACGAGAGGAGCGTCAATACCGACATTCTCATCGGCATGCTCAGCCGTGTCATCAAGCTGCGTGCGGAGCTGGCGCAGGAGGACCCAACATTCAAACCATTGAAACTCATCATCATGTCAGCCACGCTCAGAATAGAGGATCTGACGATGAACACGAAGTTGTTCGCGACGCCGCCTCCGGTACTCGAAGTGGAGGGTCGGCAGCACCCTGTCACCATTCACTTCGCCAGGAAAACACATCACGATTACGTCGAAGAAGCATTCCGAAAGATCAGCAGAGGCCACCGAAAGCTGCCTCCGGGCGGATTCTTGGTCTTTCTCACTGGCCGCAACGAGATCATCCAGCTGAGCAAGCGGCTCAAGGCAGCGTTTGGCGGTCTTCATTCGGCCGAAGGTCCCAAAGTACAAATATCTGCAGCCGACGCCCCGGTAGAGGTCGAGGATATCGAATTTGGTGATGTTGACGATTATGACAGCGATGAGAGAGACGGACTGTCATCTGACGAGGAAGATGAGGAAGAGTTCCAGATCGAGGAGGACCAACAGGAGGCGCCGCTAAAGATGCAAATCCTACCACTATACTCACTTCTACCTACGAGAGAGCAGATGAGAGTCTTCGAGACCCCACCTGATGGAACGCGACAAATCATTTTAGCGACCAACGTTGCCGAGACAAGTTTGACAATACCTGGCACGAGATTCGTCTTCGACTGCGGCAGATCCAAGGAGCGGCACTACGACCGCTTGAGCGGTGTTCAGAGCTACGACATTGGATGGATCAGCAAAGCCAGCGCAAACCAGCGATCCGGCCGCGCGGGTCGAACGGGCCCAGGCCACTGCTACAGGCTGTACTCGTCGGCTGTGTATGAGAGAGACTTTGCTGCCTTTGCGGATCCCGAGGTGCTGCGTATGCCCATCGAGGGTGTGATGCTACAGCTCAAGGCAATGAACCTCCAGAACGTGGTCAACTTTCCGTTCCCGACGCCTCCAAACAGGCAGAGCCTGGCCAAGTCTGAGAAGCTTCTGAGATATCTATCAGCTCTCTCGCCGAGTGGGCACGTTACGGAAATTGGCAAGACCATGTCCCTCTTCCCCCTCTCTCCGCGCTTTGCGCGCATCCTGTTGGTCGGCCACTTGCACGACTGCCTCCAATACACGGTTGCGATGGTTGCCGGATTATCTGTGCCCGAAATCTTCCTCCCGGAGAACCAGGCCATCCCGGCCTTGGCCACCAAGGACGATGCGGAGATTAGGACGAATGCCGATGTCATTGCGGAGAGTCGCCAGGCGGAGGCCCGCAAGAAGTTCAACGAGGTTCACAAGACATTCTGCTTCTTGGACGACAGGTCAGACGCAATCAAGCTCCTTCAGGTGGTCGGCGAGTTCGCCCATGACCCCACAGAGAAGTGGTGCGAAAGCCACTTTGTGCGGTTCAAGGTCCTCAAGGAAACACAGCAGCTGCGCAAGCAAATTACCGAGCTCCTCCGGACGAATATTCCGGCCTTTGCAAACCTGAAATACCAGGATAAGCTGGACGCCCCCACGCCGAAGCAGGTCAGCGCTCTGAAACAAATCGTCGCCCGTGGATTCGTTGATCAGGTCGCACTGCGCGCGGACATGGCGCCAAACCCTCCGGAGCACTACCGCAAACCCCGAAGGGCAATCGACGTGCCGTACATCCCGCTCGTTCCGTTGAGCTCAGGGCCTAGCTCGGAGAATGATGGCCTGGTGTACATCCACCCAACATCGCCGCTTGCTCATCTAAGTCCGCAGGAGTGCCCCGAGTACATTGTCTACTCGCAGTTGCAGCGCGCGACACCGTCAGGCCTCGACCCGGAAAAGAAGCCGAAAACCAGGATGCTCGCGCTGACGGACGTGACGGGCAGTCACTTGTCCGGCCTTGCCAAGGGTACGCCGCTTATTAGCTACGGCAAGCCCATCAAGGAGGTCAAGACGACGACGCCGGGATCCGCGTCCGGTGAGATGACGAGGGAATGCTGGGTGGTTCCGTATCTACGGGCCGAAGGGACCGGCGGCCAGGGTTGGCCGTTGCCGGCGAAGAAGGTCACGCAGAAAAAGGTTCCGGGCAAGGGCTGGGTCGTCGAATAGCTCAATATACTTCGCTATTTCTATATCGCTATGACTAGTGCTATTATTCCTTTCGTTCCTTTCGTTCCTTTCGTTCCTTTCGTTCCTTTCGTTCCTTTCGTTCCTTTCGTTCCTTTCGTTCCTTTCGTTCCTTTCGTTCCTGGCATCTAGTGAGGCTACGGAGGAGTGATGGGCGATGCCATATCTGAGGGATGAAGGCACTATCAGAGCGCGGGGCTGGCCATTACTGGCCAAGAATGTTACGTAGAAAAGGGTGCCGGGCAAGGGCTAGAGTAGCACGATGCCTCCGAGGTAAGAGAAGCTATCTAGACACCAGAGCTGTCCTGTTTGGCCACCACCGCTGCTACTGCCATTTCTATTACTTTCATTGCTGCCATCAAATAGCGAATGAACGGCGTCCCCATGACGAGGCCGGACAACTGGGTGCCTGTTGCCAGCCACCTGTTGCCAGCCAAGAAGGTCCGACAGGGGGAGGTAATAGGCAAGGGCCTGGATCATCGAGCAGCCAACCTGCCCTGCCGTAGCGTCGCACGGCCCGAGCCTCTACACAGGTTACACACGACTTAGCTCAAAGATAGCGCGGCCTGAATCACATGATTGGCAGCGTGTCAACCGGCGCCTGCCGTAACAGCCAAGTACCGAATTGAAGACCAGTGACGCAGCATCGGAGGCATTAGCGGGGGGAGGATCCGAGCGACGCCGCGGTTGGTAGTAGTACCAGGAGGAGGTTGCAGTTGGGCTGTGAGACCTTCCTCCATGCAGGTTCGCGAGGTGTGCCTGCTTTCCCCGCCGACGCTGGACAACAGCTGTCTGCACTGTGTTCAGCTCTTTCGTCCGTTTCAAGTTCTTCATCACCGTGATCAAGCGAGTTTTACAATCTTTCATCACAGGTACAGAAAAGAACATCTTGACCAATTTCTTCATCATGACGTTATTTCCCGGTGTGGCGCTCGTCACCGGTGCAGGCTCCGGTAAGCTACCCCAGCAATACGGCTTTACGCGCCGCATGCCGCTGCCGGCGTAGAAAAACATATGCCACTCGCACCGGACAGAGCTTTACTGACGATTCCCGTGTTCCTAGGCATCGGAAAGCAGGTGGCCATCTCGTTCGCCGCTGAGGGCTGCCGCAGGCTTGCCATCTTGGACCGCGATGCACCGGCCCTCGAGGAGACCAAGGCGCGGGCCGAGGCACAGGCGCCTGGGGAGATTGAGATTCTCCCGCTGACGGTGGACGTTCTAAAGGATGAGGAGGTTACAGCAGCGTTTGACCAAGTGATTGACAAATTTGGCCGCATCGACTACGCCGTCAACTGTGCCGGTACGTTCACCGGAGACGCCACCTTCTCGGACTCCTGAGAGAGGAGTGAAATCATGAGCACGTCGCAGGACCTACTCGCCATCATACGTCGTGGCCGCACACCGCTGACATTGTTGGCATGGAGCTGATGGCGTATAGGCATCTACCGCACGGACAAGGTGTCTCACGAACTCGAGCCTGCGGGGTTCGACGAAATCATGGGCATCAACGCGCGCGGCCTGTGGCTCTGCTCCCGTCAGGCCCTCAAGCACATGATCTCGCAGGAGCCGCAGCCGACGCACGACGGACGGCCCGGGAACAGGGGCTCCGTGGTCAACATTGGCAGCAACCTGGGCATTGTCAGCAAAGAGGGCTCGCGTACGTCTTTCTCACCGCTTGCACTTGCTTGCTGTGCCTCAAGCCTGACTCAGGGAACTAACGTGGTTGCGTTGCAGCTGCTTACAATGCGTCCAAGACGGCGATTGTGAGCCTCACAAAGTCAGATGCCATTGACGTGAGAAGGCCCCGTGTGAGAACTCATCCAGAGGCGCAGGAGCTAACAGCGTACAGTATGCCCCGCACAACGTCCGGGTCAACTGCGTCTGTCCGGGTATCATCGAGTGAGTACACCAACAGAGAGTCCCTCGCTAGAGCCACTATTGACATCACAGCACACCCTTGACGGCTGGCATCCCCGACGACTCGCCCGGCGTGCTTATGGCGCCCATGAAGAGGAAAGGTACGCCCCAAGAGGTTGCCGATGCAGTGCTCTTCCTGTCCAGCCCTAAGGCGTCCTTCATCCTCGGCGCAAGTCTGCTGGTGGACGGTGGCTACGTGATCCACTAGCTTCAACAAAAGTCCGACTTGTATTAGGCGGCCCAAATACCGGGGTATCAAGTATAATTACACGCTGTCCATATTCCTGCCCAGACGCTGAACACCGCGTCGTAATAAAACAAGCTTTTCGAGCCGCTAAGACGCCTTGGGGGTCTGTACCGGAGTCGGTACGTTGCTCATTCTGCTTTTCCTCCGCTTAGGCTTCGGCATCGTAGCAGACTTGGGTGTCTTCTCCCCCTTGCCGTCCTTTTTGTCATCAAACTTAGTGTTGATAGCGGTAGGCCCGTTCATGGCTCCTATGCCCGACTCGGCGCCGGCCTTGGGCGGTGGCACGGCCTTGCGTCCCGTGGACGAGAGGTGGAATTCGCCAGGGCGGCCGGTGATGGGGTTCTCGTCGATGTATTCTCCGCCGTGACGCATATGAATCAGAAAGGCTTCCTCAGACGCCCTCTCCAGTGATAATTCGTCGTGTTTTTGAGGCGCTGGCGCGGGCTTGAGATGGCTCGGCTGGCTTGGTTGACTGGGCTGGCTGAGTTGGCTGTCGGGCATGGGTGTTGCGACGGTCGACGTTTGTCCTTTTGACCGAGCTTGGCCCTGGCTCCCCGGAAGATAGTAGACGTTGCCCGTAGACGGTCGCCACTTGCGCGCGTTCTCTGCCTCTGGAAGGGCTTTGGCAATGGCTGAGGATATCGTCATCTACAGCAGTTAGCAACCGGTCAGCGACCTCGGCCCCAGGCTACTCACAATTCTAGACGCCAGTATGTCCGCCAGCGTCGGCGCCATGTAAATGTTCTCGCCCACCACGAGAAAGGACGCATGCACCGTGATCTCGTCCTCCTCCTGGTACTGTTTCTTACGCGTCTGCTTGCGAATCACCCACACGCCAGTGCCCATTCCAGGTCCCGTCTCGGCGGGCTCCTCGCCGACGATGAACTCGAGGCCGGACATGGTCTTGAGGCGGCCCTCAAAGGCCTCGCGGGTCTGGATGTAGTGGTACATGGAAATGTTGTTCATGGCCTGGCTCGTGATGACCGCGTTGTTGGACGTGCGCTCGAAGAAGGGCGACTCGGCGAAGTAGAAGAGGATCGTGTTGGAGTGCAGGCCGCCCATCTGCGCGAGGATGGGCGGCGAGCGCCATTGGATCTCGTCCAGCGGGGGGTCGTTTGGGTTGGCCATGTTGCGGCGAGATGCTGAGGCGAGGATGGGCAAGGCCGATACTGTCGCGCGCGTGTGGAGAGGGTTCGAGGTTGGAGCTGGATTGAGCTCGGTGACGTGGGGTTGGTTTTCGGCGCGGGAGATTTCCGCCCAGAGAAGTACCATGGGCCACTGTGGGCCTCTGCCTGGGATCGCAAGCCACTTGCATCCTTCAACACCTCAACATCTCCCAGCTTTATGCACAATACAACGATTTACATCAAGAACACCCTTCTCCTCGAATGCGGCTGGAAGCTTAATTGAATCTCTGATCTCTCGCGCCATGGACCTGCTCGGCACCATCCGCAAGTCGGGCTCCCGCGGCGGCGTCAACTTCAGCTGGGACGAAGTCGCCAACTCGTCGCACCGCGAAAACTACCTGGGTCACAGCCTCAAGGCGCCCGTCGGACGATGGCAAAAGGGCAAGGACCTCAACTGGTACGCCAAGGCAGACGCGACGGCCGCCGAAGGCGACGAGACGGCCGAGGAGCGCCTCGAGCGCGAGCGAAAGGAAGAGCTGCGCAAGATCAAGGAGGCGGAGGAGGACGCCATCGCGCGCACCCTGGGCCTGCCGCCGCCGCAGAGGAACACCACGGGGGCGAACGCCACGGAGGTTGGCACGCAGAGGAATATTGGGCCAGCGAGCAGACCGCCTCCGGATTTGGATGCGGAGCCTCGGAGGGAACGGTCACGGCGGCACGGCGGCGACTCGGAGAGGAGGGAGCGGCGGCGGCACCGGAGCCGTAGCCGCAGCCGGGACAGGAGGCATCGACGGCGCAGCCGAGATCGCGATGACGACCGAGCTAGGGATCGCAGCCGCGATAGACACGACAGGGGCACCGACGAGCGCAGGCGTCGCCGAGAGCGCAGCCGCAGTCGAGGCGAGGAGCGGAGGGACAGGCGACACAGAGACAGGGGCCGGGATCAGAGCCGGGAGCGACGGCGTTCGACGTCGAGGGAGTATCGGAAACGAAGCAGGAGCCCGGCTCATCGGAGGAAGGAGGAGCGGTGAGCCAAAGAACAAGACTCATGATGTTGCAGATGAGCAGCGGAACTTAGCTGCGTTTTGAAGAGAGATACCCAACACGGCTACGCCTAACGTGTCTTTGACCAGCAGCGCATCCATCTGTGATTTATACCATGCAAACAAAACTCGCCCTGATCTACGCAATGGGGAGGGCACTTGGGCACAACAAACTACTAGGTACCCCAGGCGGGTGGTGAGTCGGTAGCAGAGGCCATCCAGGTCATCACTCCTGCCGCCTGTAGCCAGATGCTGGGGACGCGGAACAGGCATCCGCTAGCCCCACGAGCGGCTCTGTTGGTTGTCAGGGCCCTCCCCGGCTGCTGGCTGCATCGACCCTGCGGATCTCCTGCTCCAGTCCCTTTGGGTGCCTGACGCGACAGGGGCTGTTAGTGGCGGGGGCGTCGGCGGTGGCGGCACCCACTGGCAGTGCGGACAGCACGCCGACGTCAGCAGCCCCAAGTCAACAACTCTCAGCTCCTTTGTCTCCGTCAACGCCTTCTGTCCCGTCGGGAAGGATACGAGGAGGCTCATAGGTCGGGGTCGGCCACTTTCCAACAACTTCCATCCGTGTCCCCAGCCCCGACGTCTGCATTTCCCCAGAGACGTCGCGGCGGACACGCAAACGCTTCTGCCTGGTACAAAATACTCTGGACGACCTAACCTTTCCCCAACTCAAACCTCGGCTTCGCCACCCGCCAACCTCGTTGTCCGACCACGTACGGCTTTCGACGCGTATATAGCCACGTCCTCCCAATATGCGAATCTGATACCCCGACTGTCGCTCTACACGAAAGTCGCGCGCCCGCCATGGACTACACCAGCCTGCGCGCCGCCGCCCTCCGCGATGGCGAGGACGAAGAGGCCGTCACCGTCGACACCCGCGCCCTCATCGACAAGGTCCTGGCCAGATACTCGGGCGAGTGGACGACGCTCCGCGAGCTCATACAGAACGCCGCCGATGCGCAGGCGACCACCGTCAGCGTCAAATGGGAGACGATACCCTCGATGCAGGTGCCGCTGCCTCCCAACACGACGAGCCGATCCGAGCTGCTCAAGCACACCTTGTCAAACCACACCCTGCGAAGACTCGTCGTCCAGAACGATGGGCAGCCATTCACGAAGACGGATTGGGGCCGGTTAAAACGCATCGCCGAAGGCAACCCTGACGAGACCAAGATCGGAGCGTTCGGCGTCGGCTTCTACAGCGTCTTTGCCGACTGCGAGGAGCCGTTTGTCAGCTCCGGCAGCGAGGCCATGGCTTTCTACTGGAAGGGAAACTCTCTCTTCACCAAGAAGTCCCACCTGCCCGAGGACAAGGCCAGCAAGCACACCACCTTTGTGCTCGACTATCGAAATGCGACGACGCCTGTGCCGAACCTGCTCTCTGTCAGCCAGTTCCTCGCGACCAGTCTTACCTTTGTCGCGCTGCAGAATATCGAGTTCTGGATCGACGACTACAAGATCTTGTCGCTCACCAAGAAGTCGTCTCCTAGCGCCGAGCTGCCTCTGCCCCGCGATCTGGAAGCGCGGACAAAGGAGGGCCTCATGAAGGTCGTCAGCGTGGATCGCACAAGCACGCAGATCGATGCGTCGTACATGTCAGTCGTAGGCTGGAAGCCGCAGGCGGCTGCCTCATCTACCAAGAGCGCCGATGCATACGGTTCTGCGGAAGGCCCGTCGTTGAGGTCCTTCTTTGCCCGCCTTACGTCCAGCTCGTCACAAGCTGGCAGCAGGTCCAAGTCGCAGAGCGAAGAAAGCATCGTGCAGCCCAGGATCGCCGAAGACGTCACAAAGGTGAACACATCGGCCATCTTCCTGCGTGCCACGTCGGCAGCCATCAAGACTAACGTCTCGGCATCGTTTGCGTCTGAGCTCGAGCGAGCTACCAAGAAGCCGCCGCCGCGGACCACCAGACTCTCCATCCTGACAGCGTCTTATGACGAGACCGAGGCTTCTACAGCGTCAGCAAGCGATGGCGCATTCACCAGAGCTACGGACGTGTTTGCTTCGGTCTTGCCGAGCAAGAAGCCTGGCGGTCGTATCTTCATCGGCTTCCCTACAATGCAGACAACAGGAGCCGGAATGCACATGTCTGCACCTTCGGTCATTCCCACAGTCGAGCGAGAGGCCATCGATCTAAACGCTCGGTGGGTGCGGACATGGAACGTGGAGCTTCTGCGGGCAGCCGGCATCATCACCAGACTTGCCTTTGCCAACGAGATGGATGACCTCAGCAAGCGGCTTCGCAACACGGCTGAGCAGGGTAAGAAGATTTCCGCTCAGAATATCGCAAAGTACATGCCCGAGGCTCTGCATACCTTGAAGACATTCACTTTTGGCGACTCGACCCCGAGCGGGCAGGTCGGGCAGATCATGGAGGAAGCTTTCTGGACTTGCTTCAAGAAGGCCTCCATCGAGATGTACTCCAGCCAGGGCGTCCTTCAGACGACTCAGGTCCGCCTTGGGTCTGACGAGCTGAGCTCGTTCGTGGATAGCATTCCGATTGTCCCTGAAGAGATGAAGACGGCCCCGTTCGTGCGCAAACTTATTGACTTTGGGCTGGTTTCCCACATCACCGTCACTGACGTCAAGAAGGAGCTTGAAGCAAAGGCCCTCAACAAGTCGCAAGCTACAAACTTCATCTCGTGGGCCGGCAAAAAGAGTGCCAGCGGAGAGCTGGATCCCGGCAGCCGATCTGCTTTGCTTGAGGTCGCCGTAGCTACGATAGGCCCGGAAGACAATCAAGGCGAGATCATTGCTCTCGGCAGCATCACGAATTTCCAAAATGTCAACAAAATACCGGCCCATCTACCGATACCTCCAACAACAATCCCCTACGCGTTCACGGCCCACTCATCAGTGGCGGAGCTCCATGCCCTCGGCTGGGAGGCGCTGGACGTCCTTCCGTGGTTGAGGTTCTTGATTGAGACTGCGAGGTCAAGAGCCGAGGAAGAGAGCCTCACGAAATCACCCAAATTTGCAGTCCAGGTTTTGACAGTCTTGTCCAAGAACTGGGATCTCATCACCGCAAGGGACAGGGAGGCTGTGGCTTCTCTTGTCAAGAGCCACCCAGTCGTGCCGACAAAGTTGGGAATGCGAAAGCCCAACGAGTCTTTTTTCCCTTCTGTCAAGCTCTTCGATGACCTGCCTGTTATTCAGGGATGCGAGAAGGTCAAAGAAAAGTTCCTGACGGCTGTTGGAGTGCGTAAAACAGTCGACCTGGATACTATCTTCACCAGGCTTCTCAACGCATCCGGCAATGCGGGTGAGAAGAGGTGGAGCCACATGGAGTTAATCAAGTACCTGGCTTCTGTCCAGAATGACATTCCCTCAGACGATCTGAAAAAGCTGAGAGAGTCAAGGATCTGTCCAGCTGAGGCTGGTCCGAAAGGAATGGAGCCAACCCAAGGCACGTCGACCTTATACAAGGTTTCAGAGCTGTTCGAGCCAAAGGACACGCTTCGAGCACTGGGCCTGTCCATCTTGCAATGGCCTGGACCACCTGGAAGCTGGCGTGCGAGCAGCGCCGAAGCCCGGTTCCTGGCTCTCCTGGGGCTTCGCACGCAACCCTCTGTTCCTGAGCTTGTGGAGATGATGGCCTCAAAGGACAGCTCTCTGCGTGCTTCGGCAATGACTTATTTCATTGCCAACCATCACATCAACCGCTATGCCTCCTTCAACCTCGGGGACACCAGAAAGGCCATTCTCCCGTTGCAAGGTAGCGGGCAACTTGTCCCACCTGCGGCGTGTTTTACGAATGAAAGAGCGGCGGTGCTTGGATTTGACATTCTCAGAAAGGACCTGCATGACCATGCAAACAAGTTTGGTGTCGCCAGAGATCCCCCCATGGTCGAGTGTGTCAACAGGTTGCTTGCCAATCCTCCGAAGGATCAACGGTCTGCCATAACTCTATTCGGATACTTTGCCTCCCGGATCAGCGAGGTGCGCGACAACAGCCTGGCAAAACTAAAGAATGCGCCCATAGTGCCTGTCAGCAGGTCCACGGCCTCCCGCGCGGCGGAAAAGTCAGGAGGTGTCTCGTACATCACTCCCACGCACACCTACCTTGGCAGTTCTGTTACGTATGGCGAAATTTTCGACTTTGTCGATTTTGGCCAAGAAGCAAACGCGTTTCTGTTCCACTGTGGAGCGAAGAGCGAACCAACCAAGCTCGAAGTGGCACATATGGTGTGCACGGAGCCGGCAAGGTTGCTCAGCGTTTTGCAGAGCCCAGAAAAGTACCTAGATCTCCTGAAGTCTCTTGCCGAAGTGGCGTCAACACTGCAGCGGGACAAGGAACTCTGGAGGCGCCTGAAGACGTCTGCTTGCCTGCTGGCGTACAAGGAACTCGCATCTCCCAGCAAAGGGGATCTAATCGACTTGGAAGATGAAGACGACGCGCCAATCAAGCAGTACCAGCTGGCATCGGCAAGCCAAATTGTGGTGCTGGACGACATCATTAGCTACCGCCTGTTCAAGGAGCATCTGATTTGTGCCCCCGAGGAAGACGCCCTGGAAACATTCTACCTGCAGCTTGGTGCCCAAAAGTTGAGCAGCCTTGTGCAGGAAGATGTGCGAATCGGTCACCAGATGCTCAACCATAAGAACGCAGAGCCGTTGAGGAGACATGTTCTCGAGCGGTCCAAGATCTTCTTGTATGAGTATGCGAACTACCGCCGCGACGCCATCAAGCACGACACCAAGTGGCTCGATAAACATCTTCGCGTGTCCATGGTCCGCTCTGTGGCGCTACGTCGCAGCCTCAAAGGGCAGCGTCAGTCTCATACAGAGAAGCGATCGGCGGCTGGCGCCTACGACCAAGGCGTCTGGACTTTGTACGTGTCGGACGAGTCCCGACCAGACATGTACCAGATCGGCCAGGCCGTATGTCAGATACTGTTGAGCCGTCCCAATCAGCAGGCGTATCTCTTCTTCGAGCCATTCCTCACACTCGACTTGTACGGCCTGCGCGCGCGCGGATACAACGTTGACCGAATTCTCCGTGCCAAGGCCGCCGAGGCGAGGATTGCTGAGGAGCAGAGGCAAAAGGCGCTGGAAGAGGAGCGAAAGAGGATTCAGGAGCGGGAACAGACATGGGCACAACAGGACGGTGAGGCCGGTTTACCCACCGCTGCTCCCGCTGCTCGTGAAGAGGCCCAAACGCCCTCGAAACCTACGATGCCCGGATCCTGGGGCTCACCGGAGCACAGCGCCGTTAACAACGCCGGCAACTCCAACAAGGGTGGCGGCCTATTCTCCAGACTCACTCGTCAGCTGGGTCTCGACAATCCGACCGAGAACGACGCGCAGAAGCAGCTCGAAAGGTTTGTGGACGCACCCCCGACCCAAACGTCGAGCACAGGACAGCAATCCAGTACTGGGAAGCGTCCGCAGCAGGATACGGGCCGTGTCACCAGTCCCGCTGTCGTTCAGCAGAACCTGCTTAATGCGATCCACGCGACACGAGCGCATGGATCTAATAGCGTATTCTCTCAGCCGAACGTCAGCGAGGTGAAGGAGCAGGCGACATACTGCGACAGCACTCCTGCGACGAACATCAATTTTGCTGCGGAGGCGTCCAACGGCATGAAGGTATACGTGTCAAAGGACATGACACGGCCAGCAGCAGAGTTCCTGACTACGAACCTGACCGCCATCAACTCCTTCGCGGCGTTGTTGGTCGATGTGGGCAGCATTTACTCGTTGTCTCCCGGGGTGGTACACATCTTCTACGACGAAGCCGGTGGGACTATTGCCTTCAACACGGGCGGTAGCATCTTCTGCAACTTGCGGTTCTTCCTCCAGCTCCACGCCACCCAGTTGACTGGCCAGAACCCAGGTGCCGCCAAGGCTGAAGCTGCAACTTGGTGGTGGGTCGTGTTTGCCCACGAGCTGGCTCACAACTTGGTCTCGCCTCACAACGCCGAGCACAGCTACTATACGTAAGTCATCCGCGAAGCGCTTTGTGTCTCATGATTCTAATTGTTCTATAGCGAGTCGTTCATCCAGCAGTACATGGGCAAGATGGTTGCCAAGACGATGCAATGGACGCAAGCCGGTGCACCATTGCCTCAACGAGCTCTTCCCCCGCCTCCGCCAGCCGCGCCCCAACCGCGTGGGCCGGCGCAGAGCGACGCACCTCCTCCGCCGTATACAATCACCTCGAATAGACGCGACAACATGTTTGGTTAGAGTTGTGGGGTTGCATTGCGCAGCGTTGTTAACGGCCAGCGGCCATTCATTGCAGGTTACCTACCCACATATAGCGATTCATTTTAGAGCAGGGGGCATGTTAGACACCAATACACTGTATGACTTTGTACAATAATATCATCATGGTCTGCCCCTATGTAGCAGGCCAATTTGCTGCGAAAATTGCTACGGGTATTGGAGTCGCCGTCAGTTGTTCAGTCAGTCTCCTACGTGGTGTCGTGTTGGTTGGTCACATGTGACTTGTCACGTGACCGCGATTTCATTGGAGCTTCAACCCATCCTGACCAGCCGGCAGTCCCCACGGCGCGGTGTCGCAACAACCTCAATCGACGACGACAACGATCGACCGCCTGCATTGGCCTCTTTGCTCGCTCGAGCCGCACATAGTCCTCTCCAAGTCAACCACACGAGCGACGCAACCACCCCACGCCCACCATGGTCCACCGAATCGCCTTCTGGAGCTGCTTCGGTACGTTTCGGCCCTCCCCTCTCTCTTCCCGCTCCAGGCCAATCCAGGTCCCTCCGCGAATCCTCCCGCGACGTTCCTCCGACGCACCTCTGCCTCTATCCTCGGAAGCCTTCAATGAATCCAAGTACGATGAGGCACCGTTGCAAGAGCCAGAGCGCGGGGACGAGCCGGCCCGGCAGGCTCGCGGAGGGGAACAACTCCTAGACATACGCAGGTGAACGATCGGCTAACCGTGGGATTATTTTGGTTCGTGTAGGCCTCGCCGTGCGCTTCTGGCAAGTCGGCATCGAGATGCGCCCCTTCTTCAACCGCTCCAGCCTGTGGGCCTACCCGGCGTACGCGCTCGGCGGCGCCAGCTTCGGCTACTGGCTGCAGGGCGTCGACGACCGGCAGACGGAGACGCTGCGCGAGCGCAAGGCCCTGCTGCTCGAGAAGCGGGCACGCAAGGCCGCCGCCGAGGCCGAGGCAGAGGCTTAAACGGTTGTTTGTTTTGCGGTCGGAGAAGCCAGAGACGGGACGGGTTCCGGGACACGGGTGAGAAACGTGAGGGGAAACTTATGGCTATGAAGAGCGGAGGAGCCTGAGCCTGGATGGGCGAATATCAGGGGAGGAGAAATGAGACGAGCAGGGCTTTGCTCCTGCTGCTGACTGAAATGGCTGTACGAGAGGAGAGCGTGGGTGCTTGTACATATTGGGCGCGGGATAGAGACTGGACCAAGAGTCCGCCAAAAACATTTCTGACAAACAATTTCCTTCTTCGCCTCGACTTCACGACGTTTCTTAACGGTGGCAATGGCAAGTGCGAGCATTACGCGCTGTTTACGATCGGCATTCTTGCGCCAACGCTGCATTCAAACGCTGTCCTTGCTGCCGTACATCTATGGTCCATCCAGATTCCCGCGACGCACGACGCATTACAGCTCCTCCAGCTTCCTAAGAATAGCCGGCACCGACTTGGCAGACGTGTTGCCCAGCTCCGTCACCACGACGGTAATGTACTTGTCCCTCGTCGTGTCAAACAGCAGCCTGAATCCCTCTTCGGTGCAGTTCTCCGGGTCGATCTCGTTGTACGTGAGCGAGTCGATGGAGACGCGCTCCGTGAAGTTGATGGTCTCGCAGAGGGCGACGACGCGCAGCCCAAAGTCGGCGGCGTTGACGGCGAGGTCGCAGGTGCCGGCCCGCGCGTACATGGCGCCGTTGCTAAACATGGCCTCGGCGGCGGTCAGCACGAGCGTCGCCTGCTTCAGGTTCGTCCGCAGGGCGCCAAAGTCGGTGGCGTAGATGACGCGGATGCCGGCGTTGATGAGCCTCTGCGCGTGGGCCAGGCCCACGCGCTCAAAGGGGTCGTCGATGAGGATGACTTTGAAGTCCTTGCCGTCCTTCTTGGCCCTGATCAGGGCCCGCTCGACGAGCCAGTGGTGGGCGTAGGTCAGGACGACCTCGTCCTGAGTGATCATCTTGGCTGCCTCCTCCTCGATGACCATGTCGGCGAGGGCGATGCGCTCGCGGATGAAGTTGTCAATGGACTCGCACAGAAGCTTCTTGGCCTCCGAGTCGGGGAGGTCGATATCGATCTTACTGATCTGGAGCTTCAGCCACCGGATGGCGTTGCCCATGGAGAAGCACATGGGGCGGCAGGCTGTGAGGTACTCGATTTGCGGGTTGAGGACGTGAGAGGTAAAGTGCCGAGACAGTGTGGCCCCATGAGGCGTCGAGTAGTCGGTGATTACCTGCAAAGCATTGTCAGCCGTGCCATTTTGCCGACGCGGTTCGCGAGGAGATCCGGCCATTTACCTTCTTGAAGGCCAGCAGCGTCGCTTCCACTCTCGTGAGGCTGTCGGGGATGACCCAAAAAGCCATCCGCTGGCCCAGCCTCAGGACCGCCGGGTGGACATCCTTGTCCGCCTGTGTGAAGGGTATCCGCTTCGCCATGGAGAGGTGGCTGAAGCACTCTGGGACCTTGGGCTTGTTGTCCTTGATGGCCGGAGGCGGCAAGACGGACTTGGACGCCGCGCGGTGGTGGTGCGCCGCGGGATGGCCATCCTGCTTGTTGCCCTTGCCCTTGCCGCCCTTGCCATCCGAGGCGCCTCCCTGTGCGCCTGGAGGCGGAGGCGGGTGCGTCGCCTTTGCAGCCGCTCTCCTCGCCGCCTTCTCTTCCTTGGCCTTCTTTTTCAGCTCAGCATTGGAGAGCTTCTTTTCCCCCGCGGCCGCCGCCTCGCCCTGCGCTGCGGGCTGGGCCTTGGCCGGCTGATTCTGCTCCTTCTTTTCCCCTGCCGCGTTTCCCGCGGCGGGAGGAGACGGCCCTGTCTCGTTCGCCATGAGACGCGCGCTGCTGCTGTCGTGCTCGAGGTCAAGGAGCGGGAGTCTTGTCGCGGCGAGGGGTAGTTGTGGAATCGAGTCAGGGCGCAATGGGAGGGACCGCTCGTGGATGATGTGTCTGCTGGAAGTGTTAGGCAAACAGAGCACATGACACTCGCATGGAGATCGGGATTATGCACCTGCGGATACAAGCTTCGATTGGCGACGCAAGGTCGTAAGGCTGAAGTCGAAGTCGATGTTTGGGCGGTAGAGTTTGAGTCACTGCAAAATGATGGGCCACCCAAGACTGGGGACGGGCTGCCCCGCGCTAACTGCAGTGTGCGGCAGGTGCGCCCACCAACTAACTTTTGCGAGCCGCTCCCACAGCTCGTCGGCACTACGTACCACGCACAGTACGCTGCAAGGTCGTGACAGCTTCAGCAGGCCGTCTTTGGTTTGGAAATTGAGCAGGACCTTTTGCAGTAAACGAACAGGCTCTGGAATGATGTGTTTGTTGGCAGCGTCTTGGTCTCGGAGAGCTGCGGCGGATCTAGGGTAACGCAAACAGCGCGTACGAGCACCACGTCTACGAGAGCTACGCCGCTGATGCTTCGATGAAGCAAGTTGCTCAAGCACGGCGACAGCACATTGTAGTCCCAGGACATGGACGACGTCGTGGCTTGCTGGAGTATTGCGCGAGATAAAAAAAAATGCAATGCAATGCTTTGACGGGCAAAAATCTGTGACGCTATGGAGCTGCAATTCTTCACGGTCAGCCATAAACACACGCGTCAGCGGCTTTGATGCCCGCGATGTAGCATTCGATGATGCTTGACGTGAAGCACGAACATGAGACTCGACAGTGAAGGCCATTCTCTAGACGCGTCGCGTCTCCTTCGCATGCAGCATCACAGTCCCACGCCTCCGCAGCCAGTGCCCATCGCATCGCGAGTGGCCTCAAAACACGCGCACACATCAAGCAAATTTCCTTCCTCACGTCGATCCAAAAGAACCGAGCCGCAATGAAAGAATGAGGACAACGACTGTCGCCAGAAAAAGGTTCCAAAAATTCCCTCACCAGGCGAACCCAACGAGGAGTGGTCATAGTATAGTTTTCAACTAGCAAAATTCCTCTCTCAGCTTATCGCTTCACGGAGAAGGAAAACGCCCGTGCACTTGGATGGAGAGGAAAGGAAGAAAAGAAGGTCTGAAAGACAGGGAGGGGAGGAGCCGCTTTTATAGCCTGGCTGGATGGGTGGGGGGGCCTGGGCCAGGTGGGCCCCGTCCTCAGGCACGCACACCAGGGCCGCCTGCAGTGATTGGCTCAGGCACGGCACTGGAGCACTTGTCCAGGCAGCACCAGGCTCCTCCCGAGCGGCTGAGGCTGCCTGGAGACGCTTGTGCCTGGCGGTGTCATTTCGAGCTATGATTCACAGCTCGTTTGTCTGATCTCCCAGCAAGTAGCCCCAGTTCGCCTCACCTCACCTTGTTGAGTGACCGGACCTGACGTTCGCTGACATGATACAGTATCGTCTGTGGCTGAGCTGACAACCTGGAAGTGATACAAAACCGTCGTCTTGGATTCTGACAATGCACGTGGAGCAAGTTAGTTGGCTCTCTTGGCTTGGCCCAGATGCCCTCTCGTCTTCTAAGTGCCTTGGCCACTTCTGAATCTGATGACACCTCCGGCTCTCTTCATCCCCGAGCCAGGGACCAGGCGCAAGTAGACTGACTCCATCCAATGCTCCATCGTTTGCTTCGTATTCACGCTGTATCGTCCACTCTGTGATGTTCATCGCTAACGGCCCCGACTTACACCAGCTCGTAAGCCCTGTCATCGCCGCCGCCCCTCCCTCTCACCCGCCGATTAAGCGCCCCCCAATACTGAAACAACATGAAGCAAGTGACCAATATCAAGGAAAGAGGGATGCTGATGGCCCAAAATAACGGAAACGAGCTCTCCCCCGGCGCCCAGCTCCCAGCCATGCTGAAGACGGCGGCGGTTGCGCTAATGGGCAGGAAAAAGGTACCCACCAGAGCTAGCACGAGCAGCGTCTTGTTCTGCGCAAACGTAATCTCGTTTTGCTGGAGAGTCATCTGGTTCTGCTCGTGCGTCCGTTGTGCCTCCAGGATGGTCGTCTGGCCGATGATGTGAGCCATGCTGGCGTCGAGCCGGTCGTGCATCTGCGACATGAGGTACTCAAGCTGCCTGAAGTCGTCGGCAATCTCCTCCGACGCCGTGCTGGTGCTCTCTGCCGCTTCTAGGCTAATGCTCGTTGCGGTGCTCCAGAAAAGTCGGCCCTGGGGCTGGCACGAACTCAACTGCTCCCGGAGCAGGCTGCGATACCAGGGGATGCGGCGTCGACTCAGAAACAGGGTTTGCATGGCGGCCTTGAGGTCTTCTGTGTTGTACTCGTGGTCGCCTCTGCCGTTCTGAAGTGCCCACTCGATGGAGTTGAGATCCCGCGTGTAGTAAGAAATCAGGAGCGTCCATTCGAAGCCGACCAGCCTGTACAGGTCCTGTGCCAGCACAAGCGGGCTGGGAATGTCCAGACTCTGCAGCTTGGCGTTGCGACGCATACATTCAAGAAGGAGCTCCGCCGGAGACTGGTACCCGGAATACGTTTCGCCTTCGATGACGTGATATGGCGGCCTGAGCTTCCCTGGGAGCCCTGCCATGCGCGGAGGCTCATCGACAAAGATGACGCCTACCAAGACCAGCGTTAGTTGCGGCCCTCGTGTTTCTTGGCACACGATTCATAAGATGCCAAACTTACCAAAGCTCCAGGGCTCATTCTCGTCTCCGTTGAACCACACAGCCGCCTGCGTGCGCGTCACAGCGAGCGGGCAAAACTGCGAAGTCACACCGTCCGTCTCGTGCCGCTGCACCGGGTTCATGGGCCCCCACGTCCTCCCGATTCTCCACGCGCCCGCCGCTCTCCCCGCCTGCTGGACCTGCGAATACTCTAGGCGAAACGGGCGGTCAAACTCCCTCGCCGTGACGTACTTGAAGGCGACGTGCCGCTGCTTGGACGCCACAGAGGGCAACGGAGCGAGCTGCCGCTTCACATCTGAGAAGTTAAAGGACGGCTGGTCCTCGAGATAGTCGTCTAGACACTTGAGAAAGGAAGGGCGGTCTCTCTCGGAAACTCGATCCCGAAGTATGAGCTCTAGGACAGCAGCATCGGCCTTTTCAACAATGATGAGCTCCGCGGTTCTTGTCCCGGCATCACTACGTTCCGGAATAGGGTGCGTGGGCTCCAGCGAGGTGGCATCGAGGGCGCAGAATTCGGCGGCCTGTCCTTGCGTAAATCTGACAGAACGAACTAGGGCTTCTCAAGCGGAAAATAAGTATCCTCTATTTGGTTGTCGCATGCGCAGAGGAGCGCGCGGCGTACCTTTGCCATCACACGGGGCGCCATTACCCGACAGAAACTCGTAAATGTTGGGAAACCGAACGCATTCCGACTTAGTCAAGAGGTTCTGCGCAGCGCCGGATGTACTTGAAGAAGCCGGGGAGGACCCAACACCCATCGTTGTGCACTGCGTTTCGGCGAGCTGCCCGAAGATGGTGAGGATCCAGGAAGCTGAAGATGTGCAGTACGACGACAGGGGCGGTCGATGGCGACTTATAGGCCGGCCGACGCTGGCGCCGTGGCTGCGTCCCGGCCAGCTGAGGCTCAGGACCGGAAGTGGAATATTATTGCCTGGACACTGCATCTTGGATTGGATCTTGTTATGCAGGTTGACAGCCTCACTTGCAAGGGCGCCAGAAGCTGCATGTGTAAGTGACAGGGGCCTGTCTGGTGTTGCACCACCGCGCTGCACGTGTTTGCGATAACGGCAAGAGCACAGATCGGGAGAAGTAGTAGATCGGATTTACATTTCCGATGATACTTGAATTGCAAGGTGTAGCTTGGAGGACCTGCAGGCGTTGCTGGCTTTCCGTTTCTGGGGCCAGCGCTCGCACGATTCGCGCAGAGATGCATCACCAAACTGTCGCGGTTGCGACGGCCACAGGACCGCCCAAGAAACTGCGGTGGACTGTCAGGTCCAATGATACGGTGCGGCTTCGCTCTTTAAATACTTTGTTCACGGCCGGAAGCGCGAAATGAGGCGACATTACTCAACTCAATCTGAGTCAGAAGGTTCGCAAGTAGATCCGAGCCGGTGGCCTTCCCATGCACATGCTGTCCACCACAGGGCCTTGGCTTCATTGCTGGCTTCCACGGGATGCCGATAAACACCTCGGACCAGGGCAATTGATGATTTGAAATACAGGCAAAAAGGGGGCAAGATCCAGCTGCCACCTCGCCTCACGCGACATTTGCCAATGGATTAAATGCCTCGACCCCGCGTGACATGGTCTGGGACTTTGGTGCCGTTGCAATTCACTCACGATGGAGGCCCCCGCGATGGCAGGTACCTAAGGGTTGAGTGAGGTATTAGCGGTTTACAGCGCATAGTGGGATATGGGTCCCTCGTTGTCCCCGGACCATCGACGGCCGCCCGCCGAGCTCTGCTGTGCTGAGGGGCCCCGGTAGGTTTGACTCACCCGAATCCGGAGCACGCACGCACCACCACCACCACCGCCGCCGCCGCCGAGGAACGAAGCAGCGCCCTCATCCAGATAAAACATTAAAAAAAGTAGCTCGCGGGCCTCGAGCTCCTCCTCCCCCTTCCTCCTCCCCGGACATCTCTTCCCTCTCACCCCTCACACACTCCCTCCCCCCGAGGCCGCGATGAAGCTCTCGCGCGCATACTCGAGCCTCAATGGCTCCATACCGGGGTCCAAGGTCAAGTACGTGCCCACGTCCGGGACCTACCCGCAGGGCTTCGCCGCGGCGGGCATCTTCGTCGGCGTCAAGCCCGGCAACACGAGCAAGCCCGACCTCGCCATCGTCACGTCGGACCGCCCCTGCGCCGCCGCCGCCGTCTTCACCAAGAACAAGTTCCAGGCCGCGCCCGTGACCTTCAGCCGCAAGGTGCTCCAGGGCAGGCGGAACGCGGGCCTGCGCAGCGTCGTCGTCAACTCGGGCTGCGCGAACGCCGTCACCGGCATCGGAGGCCTGGAGGATGCGGCGCGCATGGCCAAGACGCTGGACCAGCGCGTCGGCGCGCCCGACTCGACTATTGTCATGAGCACGGGCGTCATCGGCCAGAGGTATGATTTGCACCACCCATTGTTGCGCCCATTGGGCCTGATTTGCTTGCTCTGGAGGAGCTTCAAGTTGCTGACGATGATGCACACAGGCTCCCCATACAAAAGATCGTCGACCACATCCCGCCGGCGTACCACAAGGCCGGCGACTCGCACCGCCACTGGCTCGACTGCGCCAAGGCCATCTGCACCACCGACACCTTCCCCAAGCTCATGTCGCGGGCCTTTGAGCTGCCCTCGTCGCCCGGCATCGAGTACCGCATCGCCGGCATGACCAAGGGCGCCGGCATGCTGGCCCCCAACATGGCCACCCTGCTCACCATCCTGGCCACCGACGCCCCCGTCGCCCCGGGCATCATGACCACCGTCCTCCGCCACGCCGTCGACCGCTCCTTCAACTCCATCACCGTCGACGGCGACACCTCCACAAACGACACCGTCGCCCTGCTGGCCAACGGCGCCGCCGGCGGCAACGAGGTCGCCTCGGAGCAGTCCCCCGACTACGCCGCCTTCCGCGACGTCCTCACCGACTTCGCCACCGACCTGGCCAAGTACATTGTGCGCGACGGCGAGGGCGCCACCAAGTTCGTCACCATCCGCGTCGTCGACGCCGCCTCCGAGGAGTCGGCCCGCGCCATCGCCCGTTCCATCGCCCTCTCGCCCCTCGTCAAGACGGCTCTCTACGGCAAGGACGCCAACTGGGGCCGCATCCTCTGCGCCGCCGGCTACTCCCTCATCTCGGCCCCGGGTCAACCCCCAAACGAAGTCCCCGAGATCGTCCCCGAGCGCACAAACGTCTCCTTCGTCCCCACCGACGGCTCCGCCGAGCTGAAGCTGCTCGTCAACGGCGAACCCGAGCTTGTCAACGAGGAGCGCGCGAGCGAGATCCTCGAGGCAGAGGACCTCGAGATCCTCGTCAAGCTGGGCACAGGCGACAAGAGCACCGTCCATTACACGTGCGACTTTAGCCACGATTATGTCACCATCAACGGAGACTACAGGACATGAGGAAGCAAGTAGAACATGTGTTATCGCTTCGGATCTGATAAAGCGCGCCGGCAATGTGTCGGCGGCGCAGGCGTTAAAGATGAGTAGTGCTGTTCGCGCAGATAGAAAATTCTAGCCGCACAGATGTTCCGCATCCAGCTTTTGTCTACTTAAACCCGTGGCGCCCGACTCGCGACACTCAAATAAGGTGCGCAAGCCTGGACCGGCGCGGGAGCCCCGAAAACACATCAGCTGGCAGTAACGATAGCAAATATAGCAACGACAGCAATGACAGCAATATACGGCACGCCGCTGCCGTCCCATTCCTGCACACCAAAGAATCTGTGCGGCTAGACTTTGCATGGGTGCTAATAGCACTACCAATAGAGATACAAATCGTCATGCCCGTCACTTTAGTCTGTCATCTGTTCCGCCTCGGGTCCATGCGCTTCTCCCATCCTGAGACTAGTCTCTTGGTCCGTCTCCAGTGCAGTGTCTTGTCCCGCCTCCATTGCCACGTCTTGTTCCGCCTCCAGTGCGATGTCTTGTTCTGTTTCCAGTCCCGTGTCTTGCCACGCCATGTGATGCTGCTGGGCGCTCGAAGCTGCCTTGCGCATCCTCCTTATCCTTGTCCTTGCCTTTCTCCTGCGTCTTCGTCTTGGAGTGATCCGCCGCGGTTTCTACGCGCTCAGCGTGCCCTTTGTGCTGGGTACCTCACCCTCCTTGCCCTTGACCTGGGCCGTCGCCATCTTGATAGCCACGGCAAGGGCCTTGAAGGCGCTCTCGGCGCGGTGGTGGTCGTTGTCGCCGCGAATGCAGTCGACGTGCATAGTGACGCGGGCGGCCTGAGCAAAGCTCTGCAGGCAGTGGGGCACCATCTCACAGCTCAGCTTGCCGAGCCACTCGCGCTTGAGGCCCAGGTCGATGACGCTGTACGGACGGTTGGAGAGGTCGACGACGGCGCGGGAGAGGGCCTCGTCGAGCGGGGCGTAGGCGTAACCGAAGCGAGCGACGCCCGTCAGCGAACCCAGGGCCTTATTGAAGGCGTAGCCGAGGGCGATGCAGCAGTCCTCGGCGGTGTGGTGGTCGTCGACTAGAACGCATTCAATTAGCACAAGGACAAGTCACTCTCTCGGCAAACGTCTTCTGTTTGGACGGCTGGGGGAGTATAGGCGGGCAGGCGGGCATACTGTGCAGGTCGCCCTCGCAGTTGAGGGCCATGCTCCAGCCGGCGTGCTTGGCCAGCGCGTGCAGCATGTGGTCGAGGAAGCCAATTCCCGTGTTGACCGAGATGGTCTGCGAGCTGGTCGACTGGGAGGCGTGGGCGGCTGTGGCCTCGAGGAGCTTGGGGTGCGTGTCGGCGGGCAGCTTGCCGCCGTCGAGGTTGAGGGCGAGCTGGATCTTGGTCTCGTTGGTGTCACGGGCGAGCGCCGCGACGCGGAGTTTGGCCGTGGAGCCCATTATGTTTGTGTTTAACGCTTTTCTGTTCGGTTGATGCTGTGATTGTGAAGCAATTGACTGGTCGGTAAGGGGGCACTCGGGTATATTGATGGGGAAGAGGCGGTGGGCGATGCTGATCAATGTATGCACAGACGGGGAGTGAAGTGAAGTGAAGTGAAGTCTGGACTCGACTGCGAGCGGCTCGTCACCGGTGGCTGCGGCGGCGCCTGTATCGGCGACGCAGAGGGCAAGTGCAATCCCAACTTTTTTTGCCGGTTCCGCCATTGGACGCTACCGGAGACCCCCACCTGTCGACCCTCCAGGCGCGACCAAACTCCACTGTGCTGCTCCATTGCCCGGGCACGCTGGAGCACTGATCCATGCCCGCCCTGACGTTGAAGTGAGTGGAGCCCTGCGCCTAGAGGGGTCCAGCCGCCGAGAGCCCCCAGGCCAGGCGACTTCCCATCTGCGAGCGCTCAAAGCTACCCCGCTATTCTGCCGTCTGCCGGGGCGGTCACTGTGCCAAACTGGGCCAGAGCTGAGCTGCCCACCCAGCGACAGGCGACGCGCCTCAATCCATTTGGTTCGGTCCGCCGCTCCGACCCGCATCTAAACAAACAACCTACCTCACCTTTCCGACTTTTGGTCGCCTGCTGTCCACGGCCACGCCTCGACGATGGACAAAACCTGACGCACGCGCACTCGTACTCCTTTTCTTTGCGCCTCTTCTTCTTCTCTTCATTCTCGGCGCAGCACATGTTTGACGACTCAGCACTATGGAAAAGTTCCTGCGGGAGTGGAGGCAGGATGCCCTCAACAAAGCCCAGTACGAGTCGGCCATTTTCATAGGCGACAAGCTGCTGGCCTTGACGAGTGCGTGACCCAAACCTTCATTTTGTCCTAGTCGATCATATGCTGACACTTCTTCATTCTAGACGACGACCAAGATGCCTTCTGGCTCGCCCAAGTCCACTTCGCGACCGGAAACTACACGCGCGCGCAGGCCTTCCTCGCCAAGCAGGACCTCGTCGCGCGCAACCCCTCCTGCCGATACCTCGCCGGGCACTGCCTCATAAAGCAGAACCGCTTCGAAGAGGCTCTTGCCGTCCTCGGCGAGCGCAACCCTACGCACCTGATATCCAACGGCGGACCGAGCTCCAAGAGAAAGGCCGCTCCCCAGTCGAGGCACGGGCGTCGCCGCGGAGACCACCAGCAGCACGACGCAGGCGGCGCGGCAGATGAGGAGGAGGAAGAAGGCGCGGCGAGCCGGCGGTTTGAGGCTGCCATGTGCTTCCTGCGCGGCATCTGCTACGCTAAGCAGAATGCCTTTGACAGGGCCAAGGAGTGCTACAAGGACGCGGTGCGCATCGATGTGCGCTGCTTCGAGGCGTTCCAGCAGCTCATGACGAATTCCCTTCTGTCGCCTGATGAGGAGTGGCAATTTCTCGAGAGCCTCGACTTCGACTCCATCTCCGTCGCTGGCGATGCGTCGGCGTCCCAGGAGGCTGCCGACTTTACCAAGATGCTCTACACGACACGGCTGTCCAAGTATCGCAACCCGGCGGCTTTCGAGACGGCGTATGACTCGTTGTCGACACATTACCACCTAGCCTCTAACCCCGATCTGCAGCTTGCGCGGGCCGACTTGCTCTACACGCAGTGCCGGTACCGCGACGCCCTAACCATCACCAACGCCATCCTCCAAGACGACAAGTACAACTTCACCATATACCCCGTGCACCTGGCGTGTTTGTACGAACTGAAGATGAAGAACTTGCTGTTCCTCGTGGCCCATGACCTGGCTGACACGCACCCGGAAGAGCCGTGCACTTGGCTCGCCGTCGGCATCTACTACTTTGCCATCAACAAAATTGCAGAGGCCCGACGTTACTTTAGCAAAGCGAGCATGATGGACGCGCACTTTGGACCGGCCTGGATAGGATTCGCGCACACCTTTGCGGCTGAGGGGGAGCACGACCAGGCCATCTCGGCGTACTCGACAGCAGCGCGCCTGTTCATGGGCACACACCTCCCACAAATTTTCCTCGGCATGCAGAACCATGCGCTGAACAACATGACTCTTGCGGAAGAGTTTCTCAAGACGGCCTACGGGCTATGCAAGACGGATCCTCTGCTGCTCAACGAAATGGGCATTGTCAAGTACCACCAGGATAAGCCCAAGGAGGCCGTGCAGTACTTTACGGCCGCGCTCAAGATTGCCGACGAGATAGACAGCGAACCCTCCGCGTGGCTCTCGGCGCGGACAAATCTGGGACACGCCTTTCGACGCCTCCGCCACTTTAACCGAGCCCTGGCGGAGTTCGACGAGGTGCTGCGCCTAGGAGGCAAGGACGCCGCCATCTTCAGCGCCAAGGGACTCATCCTAATGGAGCAGAACCGGCCCGAGGAAGCTGTGAGCGTTCTGCACCAGGCTCTCGCCATCAACCCGCAGGACAGCATCGCCACGGAGCTCCTCAACAAGGCGCTGGAGGAGACGGCCCTGATCGACGGCGCCGCCGAGGACGAGGCCGAAGACCTCGCCGAGTTTGAGCACCAGCTCGACGCGAGAAAGCTGGAGGCGGCGCAGAAGCTCAACAGCGGGCGGGCCGGACGCGGGGGCGCCGCGATGGACAAGGGCAAGGGCAGGGTCGGGCGTCGGCGGACGCTGCTCGACAACGAGGACAAGGGCGAGAGCATGATGGAGATGACGGATGACGAGGACTAAACACGGACATTGAGGGACGGCAACGGACAAAGCATTACGTAGCGGGGGCAACGGAGGCGTTATTGGACAGGATTGGCATTAGGCGTGGAAACGGCATTGAATCACTGCGCGAGCGCCGTCCTTTGATAGTAGTACATGATGGCAACCATTGTGCCTTGATATCCCAACGACATGGACCCTATGTGCCTGCACGGGCTTGCCTGTCGACTTACATCCCTGGAAGGATGTATCACTGTAATGCACGCGACCAAACATCATGGGTACGCGGCACCGACTCGTCAACCAGCGAACTCCCGCTCGTCTCATCGGTCCGCGAGACCAGACTGCCCAGCCTACCTAGGCACGAACTCCCAATCGTCATCTGACCTGTCCTCCAGTGGGCGTGCTTCAGTCCGACAGAACGGAACAAAGGCAACGCGCGCAGGAGGCGAGTCTGGGGCCGGTGCTGGCTTGCGTGCCGCTATCAGGCTCCGGGCTGTGCCCTCGTGCCTAGGCAGGTCTGTCAGACCTGCCATTTGCAGGCCCATGATAATCTCATGGTACTGCGACACCTCAGGCATACCATGGTCTTGCGAAACACGGCCTTTGAGGCAGCCCATTTCAGCCGCTAGGAAAGAAAGAGTAAAGTCAGCGAACCTCTGGCCACAGAGCTGTGAAAGACCACCCAGCATGCCGTCTTGCCGCATTCATGGCGCAGAAAAGAAGTGGGAAGGATGGAGGGAAGGGGGATTCACAAACCTGTAAACATGTTGCGAAGGCCTGTAATGACGGGTCCGCCGACCGCAACGTCCCGAGGCAGCAGAGCGAGGACCATGGCGGCAATAACGAGGGCGTAATCGTCGCCGAAACAGCTGCTGGCGAGGACAACGGCCCTGCGCACGTCCCGCACGCCCGTGTCGACGAGCTGCGGCCTGCCTCCGGCGACGTCGTACGCCCGGCGCAGCTCCATCACGCGCTTGGCCCAGCGCGACCAGCCGCTGCGGTCGGCCAGACCGGGGCAGAGCTTGAAGAGGTGGCAGTCGACCATGCGCTGCAGGCTGGTCTCGCGGGCACACCCCTCGACCCGGAGGTAGCCCTGGCTAAGGTACTCGCCAAAGTAGAACACCTCGCCGCCGTGCGTCGCCGTCGTGCGCAGCCGATGCAGGTCAGCGAGGTCTTGGCTGTGGGGGGCAAAGGCCGCCATCAGACGCAAGTCGCTGATAAAGGCGCCATGCGGCAGCTCCCGCGTGTCGACAACGAGGAGGCGCACGCGCTCCAAGTCGGGCACGCCGCGGCTGGACTGGGCGCGGCGCAGGCCATGCTGCAGGACGACGAGCAGCGAGGAGGACCAGGACACGAGGTTGTGGTGCGTGAGCGGGCCGTTGCTCCGCCAGAGGAGGTGGTTGGCGAGGGCGTCGGCCGCCCAGGACGGCTCGGCGGCGAAGATGTCGCGCCGCGCGGCCCGGGCTATCGAGGAGCGCGGGCGGCGCGGGGATGCGGCGGCAGCGGAGGCGACGTGCCGCGTGGTGGTCTCGCCTTTGGAGGAGGGCGTGTGAAGGCGGAAGAGGTAGCGCGGGACGAGCGCGGCGGAGGAGGAGGTGATGGAGTCGTAGGAGGGGTGTGACGGCGGGGGGTTGAACGGCTGTGCGGGCTGGGGGTTCTTGCGCAGGTGCGGCGGGCGGAAATGCTGCTTCTTCTTCTTCTTGGCCGGCAAGACGGCCGTCGTGATTGCCGGGGCCATGACGGGCGAGACCGAAAGGATGTCTTTGCTGTGTACGTCGCGATGGCGTGTGTTTCAACAGGTAGAAAGACGGCCAGGGCTGAGCAGAGGACTGTGATGACTCGTATGGCGGGCCGCTGGGGATGCAGAGCAATGCGATGGGCTGAAAGGGGAGACGAGATTGACGGAGGAGGATGAGGGGGAGCGAAATGATGGTCTCGACAGATGAGATGAGATGAGATGAGATGCGATGGGGATGAAAGATGAAGGAGAGAGACAACCAGCCAGCCAGCCCGGACGGTCATCCAGCTTGTTGGCCTGCGGCCGCTTTTTCGGCTGTGCTGGGCAGGGCGAGCGGGGGAGGGGTGTGACGCTGGGGAATGCGCAAGAGTCATCTGAGGGGAGGAGGCTTCAGGGGTGCATCATGGCGGGCGCTTGGTGAAACTCGCGTGTTGCGTGGCAGCATCACGACGGCAGACAAGACGCCCTGTGTCATGCGCTGCGCGGAAATGCTTCGTCTTTTTGGCGGCAGAACAACGACGCGGGCGGTAGTGGTAATAAGCCGACAGGTGATGACGGGTTGCTACTAACTCGCTCAAAATGTACATAATGTAGGTAGGCAGGTGTATCGTCTCACGCTGTCATGGATCAATCAAGTTGCTTCCATGCCATGCGGCATCCGGGGGCTACTTTGCAGGCAAGGCCACATCTACAGTAAGCCGAGGGAGCGCGGCGACATGAGTCCATGAGCAGTGGAGAGACCCGTCGTGGCTGCACAGTGACGATGTATCCCCCCGAAGCCGTTATAGATTGGAGCTCTACTGCTGATATTCCGTCATTGATGATGGGCTCCGGCATGGGAATGGTCTATTCTCGGCGCGGGCCGCCGCCGCCTCCCACTAACACGCGCGCGGACAGAATACGGGGCGGGCCCAAGACTGCGGGCTGGTCGTTGTTAAAGCCACATAGACTTCCTACGCACTTCAACTACCAAAGGGCTACCTCCATTACATGTACAAAACAACGTCGGAAAGAAGGCGTAAAATGCAAAAAACAACAGTGTATACCATGTGTGCCTCGGCCGTGCAAATTTTGTGCCATCGTTTAGCAGAGGTGTCACGACAAGTTGGCCCAGGTGGCTACAAGTAGCATTGTAGTATGTAGCTTGTAGCTTCATTAGACACGACGAACAGAGTGCATCACCAGCAAGACACACCTTCAGCTTCACGTTCTCTCACTGCCGTACATCTACGCTGACGCCAGCGTTTTTGCAACCGCTCATCCGCTCTCAACTGCTGAATTCTTTATCATGCCCTTTGCCTGTTGCCATCTTTGCCTGTTGCCAGACACTGGTGTCTGAGACAGACCAACGCCTCACCGAGAGCATACCCAGCCGTGATTCACTTGGCAATTAACGTCACCCGTAGATCTCTTCGTGTCACGATGGAGGCCTGGTTGTTTATGGAAATCCATGTCGACATGCGCTGATCTCCGTTGTATTTTGCAAGCAATACCCTCGTTGACCCCTCCCTTCGCTGTTGGAAGCCAAGTTCACCACCAGGCGTAGCCGTTCCTTCATACCCACTCACCAGCCTGTGATCTTGTCCCGGCATTGCCTGGTAATATTCTCCGAAAGCCCGTACCGAAGCGCACAGACAGACAAATCAGCCAACATGTCAATGAACACCATGACGGTCGACGTCTGGAGGACCGCAACCGGCGAGATGGAGCTCCTGCCTGGAAACATCCGAAAGCTCATCGGATCTAGCCATCCTTTCTTGGACGAGGCTGCCAAGTATTATACTCGAGCAGAAGGGAAGCACTTGCGACCGCTCATTGTGTTTCTCATGAGCCAAGCCACCATGCCCTGTCGACAGGCCTCGCAGTCTGCGAAGCCGGCAACAAAATCGAATTCCACTTGTCCCGGTTCGGCAGATACACCGACCATGGGCCATCCCGTCAGGGAGAGCAACTTGAACACGTTGGTCGCCGAGATCAGTGAGCTCCTGGGCACAGCTCGACTTGACAAAGACGCATTTATATCGCCGCCACCATCGCCGCCGTCGCCAGCTGCACCTCTTACGCCAATCAACCAGAAGAATTACCTGGAAGAGTCCCGAACCGCCGAGGTTGACATACTTCCGGCCCAAAGACGGCTCGCTGAGATCGTCGAGATTATCCACACAGCTTCATTGCTACATGATGACGTGATTGACAATGCCAACTCTCGAAGGGGCTTGCCGTCGGCGAATCTGGCGTTCGGGAACAAGATGGCCACATTAGCTGGCGACTTTCTCCTAGGCCGAGCCTGCATGGCCTTGGCTGGCCTACACCATCCAGAAGTCATGGACCTGATATCCGCAGCCATCGCAAAGCTTGTGGAAGGCGAGTTCATGCAGCTCAAAAACACACAGTACGACGACCCGAGCCCAAAATGGTCAGCGGAGGCGCTATGCTACTACCTCCAAAAATCGTACCTCAAGACCGCCAGTCTCATATCCGCATCGAGTCGCGCGGCAGCACTGCTCGGCGATGCGGACAGCAAGACGGTTGACGCGGCGACCGCGTATGGAAGAAACTTGGGCATGGCGTTCCAGGTAGTCGATGACATTCTGGATTACACACGGAGCGGGACGGAGTTGGGTAAGCCGGCGGGAGCAGACCTCGAGCTCGGCCTTGCAACAGCGCCTCTCCTCTTTGCCTGGGAGCAGATGCCGGAGCTGGGTGTGCTCATCGGTCGCAAGTTCCAGCACGAAGGCGATGTCCAAAAGGCAAGTCTAAACCGCGAACCCCTGACGCTACTTGCTAATGTCCTGCACTAGGCGCGAGATATGGTCCTGAGGAGTGATGGCATCGCCATGGCGTATGCGCTGGCATACGACTACTCGCAGAAAGCCATCGCGGCTATTCGTGACTTTCCGCAGAGTGAGGCCAAAGACATTCTGGTGCAAATTGCGCAGTGGACGGTGCAGCAGTAGCGGCAAGCGATGGAGAGAGGCGGCACGACATGAGATCAAACGGGGGGGGCAGAGGAATTGACCTGTGATAGTCAGGCCTACCCAGAGTAATGTTGCGAGCAGCGCTTGGGTGGAAGGTCTGTCGTATTTCCTCTGGCTAGTCTCTTGAAGGCATGTGGCGAGCGGCTACTCAGTCGATATGGGCAGGCATCATCGTACTGGTAGCGTCGTAGCCCCGGAGGTTGCAATAGTGGGCGCTGGGGAGCGATCCAACATTGAACCTCGTCGATTTCATGCGGGCACCACATGTCAGGACCTAGCGCGGACCCTGCATGTACGAGTACTGGAGCATGACCCCGACGAAGCGCAATTGCGGGGCGCACTGTCTTGGAAGCCAGTGCAGACGCTAATACTGACGTGTCTTGGTTGACGTTGCTGGTGACATCCCGTTCCGGGTTAATAAGGGGAAGTTGTGTCTCGTTCCGAACGGCTGGACCAACTGTCTCTCAAAACCCGACAACCCCCAACGGCCGCAAATGCCGTACTGAGACCTCGTTGTACAAGGAGCTCGCATCAGTCCCTTCCTTTGTGCTTGCATTGCCTTGGCGAGAAGCCATCTCCGTTATGCAATCCAACGACTCCACCTCGTCCGACCCTCCCGCACCTACTGCCGCTGACGCGGCCGCCATCATCGCGACCATAAACGGCATCACGGAAGCGGCCAGGGACTTTGACAAAACGACCGCTACCTGGGATGGCGGTCTCCTCGGTGCCGTTTCTATCCTGACAAAGTCCGGCAATCTCACCAAGGACACAAACAATGGCGCTGCGATTGCAGAGGCGGCCGACCCCCTCACCGTACCAGAGGCCGAGACAGTTGCGGCCGCCTTTCGCGAGCTCGCCGACGTCCTCAGCAAGGCCATTGACACCACCATCGCTGCAAAGCCACGCTTTGAGGCCATAAGATTTCTTGGTACCTCCGCCGTGGGGAAAATCTTGGATGGGCTGCGGAGCGCTGCGGTGGCCTTTAATGATGCCGTCACGAGGAAGGCGCCGGCAGAGCTGGTAGACACCGCGAAAGCTATCTTTGCGCAGATTGATGGGCACTTTGTGCGAGGGCTGGCTGTGTTTCCCCTCAGTGGGAACGGAGCACCCGAGGTGAAAAGATCATCGGGAAATACGGAATAAAGCCATGAGTGTTCCAGGGACTTCTTGGTGTAATAAGCCGGTGAGCACTCTCACAGCAAAAATAAATCACAAAGGCAGCGCACAACGAGCGCGACTAAACCGACGCGTCTGTTTCAAATAAAAGGCGCCCACATGCTCAGCGCTGCCTTGAGTTTCGCATTCGCGTACATAAAATCGGCGGCCTTGAGATCATGAATATGTCCCTGCCGTATTTCCTTTTCGAGATCGCCGAGAACAAAGCGATGTTCCAGTCGTTTCGGGCTTGTCCATCCGAGGTCTTCTCTCATCTTCCGAATGAGTCGTTTCGAAAAGTTTTGACAGTTTGCCGCTAGCAATGAGTAGGCGTAGCCGGGAGCATTGTCGGCCTCTACATCCCGATATCCAACATCCGTCGACCAGTTCTTCAGCACCCATTGGGCTGATGGCACATGAGCATTAGCGACGCCCTTGCTTTGTTTTTGGGGGGCCTCAGTAGTCTCTCCGACGTACCGTAGAGAACAAACTCCTCCAGACTAAAGAACATCTTCACGTCACAGAGGCGGGAGTCCCTCATGATCTGGAACTCGTCCCGTCGAACCCGCTTCTTCCATTCGCCTTCTCCATTTTTACCGGGGGTTCCCCAGACGTCCTCGAGGATCAGATCGTCGCCGTATTGTTTGTAAAAGTTCATCCCGAAGATTCGATATGGCGCGTCCTGGAAGGTGCTCTGTAAGTGCTGATACACACAAGCCATCAGGGCTTAAAGTTATACCTTGTCATCTGCCGGTCGAATGTAAACACCCCAATGCGCGAGTCGCTCTTTGACGCTCGACGAGCGCTGAGACACAGCTCTCCACGGGTTTACAGCAACTCCAACTAGCCAAGCCTGTCGCCGAAAGGTTGCGTTGTCTGGTATCCGACATGGAACATCGGCGACCGTCTTGTAAAACCCCACCGTGCCGCGTTTGGCTGCGAGCTCGGCCTTGAGTGCTTTATAATTTCTATCTCTGGATTTGTAAGCCTCGCTTGAGAGGAACTTCTCTGACAACTCCAGCTTGAAGTAATAAGGGGCACGCGGATCGACCTTGTCCCTGCCCGGCCACGCAAGGGAATCGTTTACTTTGACGTTGAGTTTACTGTCAGCGCGGGCTTTTCGAGACTTCTCCTGAACCTTGCCCACACCCTGCTTCTTGGAATCAGTCCGCTCCATGTTTCTTCGAAGATTTCCGCGTGGCGCCTTGCGAAATGGATATATGCGTCGTCACAGGGCTAGGACAGGGCCATAAGGCTATCCGACTGCCCGAACTGTGTTGTAGAATGACAGGAGGCTATTGCTTCAGATTCCGTACTTGCCAATAGCAGGCGGCCTTCAATTACTTCAAAGGGGCAATGGGCAAATGCAGTGGCTTCGAATTCTCTCAAACACACCGTCGTAAGATCCGAGGCGTCGGGATGCGCAAGACACGGTGGCTTTTTAAAAACGGGTTGATGACCGCTGGCACGACCTTCACCTCTACATTACTTGCCGTCCGCCATCAAACCACGCCTAATCGCTTGCCGTAGTGGTAGGTCATTCTGGCTGGGCGACCCGCATGATGGCCGGTTGGTGAGCGTCATTCCATTGCCAATATTGGCATTGTGCAGGGCAACACCATCATCCGATGGCATACATTATCGCTCTGCCATGTCCCTTTTGTACAATCTGATTCAGCCAGCCATACACGTGGCCATGCATGGCTGGGCGGATGAGCTCATATTTATGTTGTACGAGTCGAGCAGCTCCGAGTAGCCCGGCGAACAGCCGGGCATATGCAAGCCTGGCACGATGCCCAATGCACACTGCTGGCTGCAGGGATACCCTCCTTAGTTGATGTGGTGTGTTCGACTCTTCGCGATCGAATGACCCCCTGTACTCCGGGGCGCTTAGCAGTCACTTGATGCAGCAACGTGTCGGCCCGTGGCTATACAAGACAGCTAAGCTGCACTGTCTGGGCTGCCTTTTTCCACTTTCTCCGTGGCTGGGATGGACTGTGTGACGACCAGCGTTGGGCCATGAGTCGAGGCTGAGCTAGGCTGCAAGATGATGCAGCGTGTGCTGAAAGACTGCCTTGCCCTCGTCTGGCGTAGTGCAACACATTCTCAAGATGTATAAACGTAATTCCTTGGGCGGGCCAGACGCGAACGCAGAACGATCCACGATACCGACGCCGCTCACAGCAGCAAACCGCCCCTTTATCTATATCGCGATCACGACTTACTCCCGCTCAACCAACAGACGGGATAGCTGGTGACGTAAACGATCGAAGTAATTACGGGAAGTAGTCCCAGTGGATGCAGGCACGGTCAAATTGTAGCCCTTCCCATGGTCCGAGCGAGATGCGAACAAGGCAGACGCTGCGCATACTGCAAGCCATGATTACCAGGGGCTTTTCAGTGAAAATGGCAGGCGGATTCGCCTTGAATGCCTGGAGAAAGCTTTTCCCTCTTCACACGGCGGCTTGGCAAGCTGCTTACGCATCTATTGATGAAATGGTGAATGCCCCAAGCAGGGTAGAGCAGGGTCATCTTGTAAGACAGTGGAGGGAGTCTATGCTTGCCCAGTTATCACATATTGGGATCATAGTAAGTCAGAGTTGGAACGCTCAATAGAGTGCGTTGGTAAAAAGACGTGCTCACTGTCTTCAAATAAAGGGTTCAATAATGAGCGCGATCGCCGTCGGCTCATTTTCTTGGCCTGCCTTATCAACCATGTCCGTCGTACCCCTCACGATGATTCGCATCGCCTGGTATAATAGCTTGCTACTTGGAGTTGTCGCTGTTGCGGTCGGTATGCAGCAAAGCGTCTTTCTCGTCCGAATTCAGCATGCCTCCAGCTCCGACATCTTACTTTGCGAGCTTCTGAGCTCTCAATCGAGTACCGGGCGCAGAATGCCGTTATGGGACCAGCTCTTTGTTTGGCAGTCTGCAGTGGGCTTGCTAGAGTGGTGTATCTACTTCTGGCTCGGTGGTTTCGCAGTGTTTCTTTGGGATACAACTCGCGTTCTCGGGGACGGCCAGGGAAAGCAGGATCAAGTCGTGAGTCTTCAGTAGCAGGATGGTGCCCTCAGTGCTAATCTTGCCGCATTATCTCCAGGTTGCAGGCTGTTGCTTCACTGTCTTTGGGTTCGCGGTACTTGTTTACCTAGCCAGCATGATTCGCCTTTGGTATGGCGTTTGGCGTCATATGCATCTGATTAGCCCAACCTCCTAGTTATTAGAGACAGGGAAGCGCGCGTTCTACCTGTAGAGAAGACTACAAGGGGAGGCTACCGCTGCTGAGGTGCCTGATGCAACTGTAGCAGCAGAGGGTAAGAGTTCGCGTTGGAATCATAGCTGAAGCATGTGAAACTGGGCTTGAGCATCTTCAAAGGGCAACAGGTGATTTTGGTATCGAATATACGAGACTTTGTAAAGATCTAACGTACTTGTCAGACAGCTGCGGCGGCAGAGGCAAAAGACTTGCGTTGGATGATGCACTCCGTGACCAGACTAGCTCAAGCCCCCAAGAGACGGACTCGTAAATGCTGACCCGCATCTATGCCGAATTACTGCTGAGCTCTGCTAGTATTTATTCCCATCTTTCGCTCAAGATAGCTGACCATCGCTGAGCAAGTTGAACGTTATCCATAGTCGTATGCACAGTCGCCTGGGGCGGTTGGTCAGGCGATCTGCAACCGTGTCCCGTGTCAATTGGGTATCGCGCGTCTGCATCTCCACGAGACAAACCTATCAGCGCTGAGCCCAAGCAACTAGCTGCCCTGCTTTCAACGCCATGAGTCGTGAACGACGCCCGGGCGCATAGGCGTTCTACGCCCGGCCATGCAGGCGGCATGGAGCCTGGTTTAATATATAGACTACAGGACAGTCTGCTCTGGAATGTCTGCCTCCAACTCCATCCATTCAGTCATGAGAATGCAGCTCTTGTCTAAAAGCCGCGATACAATCGAACGCCTTTGCTCTACTTAGACATAACCGTCAGAGAACTTTACACAATGTCAGACCGACCTCAGCTAAACTACACTATCGACCCCTCGACTAATCCCGCCACATGGCCCGGACCTATCCCAACATCTAGCTACATTGACATCTGTAAGGTGGATGTCATCTACGTCAACATCAATGCCGCCTCGGACTTCACCCTTCTTCGCACCGGGACCAATGAACTCATTCAGCATGCAGTGATACAGGTGACCAAGCACCTTGCGCGGGGTCTTTACCGCATCATCAGCATGAACGTCAGCGAGTATTCGTGTGTGGTTGTCATGTCAACGGAGAAGCCGAGAAGTGAGCTCATGTGGAAGAACGGCTTTCCGTGGGATAATGAAACGGATCCGCAACCGGAGGTCGTGTTGAAGTAGGAGAGACGAACAATCCGGGCTCTAATCGTCTAAGTAACATGTAGTTGACCAGGGAGAACAACCAGCTACTTTAGTGTACATTTTATGTCCTCAAGCCGTGCTCCCCCTTAATCACAAAGGGCAAGAGTAGCGCTCGTTTTCCCCGGGTATCAGCAACCCAGGCGGGTCAATGAGATACGAGAAAGAGTCATTCGCTAGTAACCTCGATTCCCTGGAAGCTTGACAGATAGAAAGTATACAGAACCTCTGAGAAGCACAAACACTGCCGCCCCTAACTCTCATCATCCATTGCTGCGTCCTTCCCGCTCGCACACGTGTTTACTACTCCAGTCAATGGCGAGATTTGCAGATATCCTGGGCAGCAGCGAGGACCTCTGAAAGTGACCCTGTATGTTAGAGAAGCTGCTCACTCTTGTCTCTGGAGAGGACAGGGCAAAGGAGCCTACTTCCTGCCTCGCTACCGCAGGCACCTATAACGCAGGGGGCGGCACCACTCTTGATGGCAGAGAACTTCTCCGGGCTGCATGCGCAGTTGAAGTCGACTTTCCCACAAGCCTTGATGACGGCGTCAGACAGGCACTTCTCAGCGCACGGAGGCATGTTGCCGATAGCCGCAGCTGCGGCAACGACCGAGAGGATTACGGCGATGTGCTTCATTTGCAAAGATGGATGATGTGACCGGTGCTGCCAAATGGAAGAGCGAACCGTCATGGAGTGACGACTGTAGACTACTGTTTTATAACACAATTCCATTTCGGTACCTTTGGGAATCCCTCGTTTTATGCAAAGATCGAGGAGAACATTTGAGCCGCGGATGCGCTGAGTGCGAATGTCTCGCTCCCAGGCCGCTAAGTCCGCGGTCCGACCGTTGAACTCACATTTGCTCACGTGGACTTTCATCTCAGAAACCCTCCTAGACACTGTGTCGTCCCCATATCACTCTCGCACATGATCTGTAGTGGCCGGGTCTTGCAGTCATGTCATGACCTTTCGCGTGGACCAGGAAGAAGAAAGTCTATGTTTCAGTTATGCACCAACAAGCCCCCTGCTATAGCCCCTGTGTTGGCCTTCTGCAACAATAAAGTCCAAACTGTTTGCGGAATCATCGCGAATTATCAAGCGGTGCGTCTGGCAAGCGCTTGTGTCCTCTTATTCCACGTGAAGAAGCTATTCGCAGTTCCGTTTTTACGTTTCCGCCGCTATGGACTTGGATGTGGTAGCATGCGCAAGTCCAGAGCCACTTCATACCGCAAATTTACCGATGTTCCAACCAACAGACGGTTCCATTCGATGTGAGACACGGCCTTTGTGTCCCCATTTGTTCTCATTGAGTGTCTCAGTCTTCACAAGAGGTCCATGCACCACCCAATCCTTTCCGTTTTCCCCCTTGTTTTACCTTTCTGCGCTCTGTAGTGAAGAAAAGATCACTGATTGAGCTGACTGTTCGATGCTCGTCTCTGCTGTTTGGACTCAAAAGTCGTGTCGTTCTTAGACTGGAACGAAATCACTCTTGCGCCGTTGGAGCAATGACCATTCTCCCCGCCCATGATCGGCTTGCACCTCGCGCAAGCACGACAGCGAACCGCCGCTCAGGTCTAATCATCATCGCCGCGTCAACACAGCACGTCCGATCTCGGGTGACACTCTCAAGGAGCACATGATGAAAGACCCATTAGCTGCAGAGCTCACCGTGCCACATGATAGCTCTGGAAAATCTTCCGCCAGTCCGTCAATCAATGACCTCAAAGCCGTCACTGTCCCTCCGAAGCAGTTCTGGCTACTCAGCGTTGGGTAAGAAGATCCTATAACGCACTGATCTTCTTTTGTTCCAAGACATACTGATGCGTATGTTGTTTTCAGGATCTATATTGGCTTGTTCCTGTCAATGATGGACGCGTCCATTGTCGCGTCCAGTCTACATACGATCGCGATAGAGTATGGAGTGTTTGTCTCTGTCAACTGGGTGGCACTGGCCTACACCTTGGCCGAATGTAGCTGTGGCGTTGTCTTTGCTCGAGTATCTGATATCGTGGGCAGACGGAATGCGTTCATGGCAGCCAAGGTCCTATTCTTCGCATTCTCCTTAGCGTGTGGGTTTTCGCGAACCTTGGAGCAACTCATCGCCTTTCGGGCCTTGCAAGGTGTTGGTGGCGCAGGTTTGCATACCCGCCCGTGCTACATGTACATCGCAATAGACTGGGCGGATGCTAAGAGTGTTATAGGTCTTTACTCGTTGACAATGGTAATCTTGCCCGAGGTTTGCCCTGACCATCTCCTCGAATATATGGCCGGCCTTGCCGGCGTGAGCATTGTGGTTGCCTGCATCGTGGGCCCGATCGTGGGAGGCATTCTCACCCAGTATGCTTCTTGGCGATGGATCTTCTGGATCAAGTATGCAGGCACAAGTGCCTACCAGGCTCAACCTTGGCTAATGTGCGAGTAGCGGACCGATTTGCGCGGTGTCAACAGCAATGTTCCTGGTTTTCTGGCCCAGGAAGCAGGACATTGCTCCCACAGTCCGGCGATCCTGGAAGTCGTTTGACTACGCCGGGTCTGCGCTCGTTATCGCAGCTGCTGTTCTGGTTGTGTTCGCATTTCAGAACGTGGGAGTCGCTCCTGTCAACATCTGGCACACCGCCGAGTTTATCGCCCCAGTCACCGTTGGCATTGTGTGCTGGGCGGCGCTCTTCATGTGGCAATACGCGGTTGAGACCAAGACGGCGTCCCGTATCATGCCCGCCTTTCCGCTATCGCTCTTCCGGAACCGATTTTATGCATCCGGCGTTGCGACTACTCTACTGCTGGGTTTCCCGCTCTTTGTGCTGCTGTTCTCTGTCCCACTCAGGGCACGAATAGTGAGCGACAAAAGCGCCCTGGCCGCTGCAGCGATGCTCTTGCCCATGCTCGTAGCGAGTGCATTTGGGTGCGTTGTTGCTGTAGGGATCAACTCGAAGAAGAACTTCCTCTCCGAATCAATGTTTGTTGGGGCTTCCCTGTCGGCCATAGGATGCGCCCTGCTCACAACGCTGTCCGAGCGAGGCAGCGATGGGAAGCTCCTCGGCTACATTGCTCTTGCTGGCTTAGGCGGTGGACTCTCCATCACATCAGCCACTGCCATTGTGGCAGTCAACATTCCACCGGGAGAATACGGTAAGATTGCGATAGCACCCTCTGTTATCACACCACATGCTAACAAGACACCGCAGCGCCGGCGCAGGGCATTATGGGGCAGGCAAGAGTTCTCGGAGGCAGTTTGGGCATCGCTGCGTTTAGTGTGTTGCTGCACAAGGAGGTGGCCAAGGTGATTGTTGGTCCCATCCCACCGCAACTGTATGCCATACTCGGGGGCGCGCGGGCCGACACGCCAAAGGGCTTGCATAGCCTGGTGCAGCAGGCATGTTCGCGTGCGTTTCGGGGCGGCATGGTTGCATCTGCAATTATTTCAGGGCTGGCGGTCCTCTTGACACTTGTCGGATTTACCCGCGACCACAAGGATGTCAAGAAACAGCGCCTAGACTTGGTCCGAGGGGACATGCCCGTGAGCCTGCCTGCTGAAAAAGAATAGTAAATTGTGGCCGTTGGTGAACAGAACTGGCTTGCCGTCAAGTGCTGGGGCGCTCTGTTCGTGAAGATTTGAGCATGTCTCTCGGAGGCAGTGTGTATTGGACCAGGAAGTGCTTCGCCGTCAGTCTACTCTCCACGCGTAAAGGTCTCACTTACAGTTCCTGAAATATGGCCCATTCACGAGCGGCAAACGCTAGAACTTTCGTCTTATCTTCACCCCATTTCACAACTTTGCTTGCAGATACACGAGTACCACATGCCGTCCAGAAACGGGCGCTGCTCACCGGTCTTAGGCTCAACTGATCACGTCTTAGCGGACCAGTTTGAACGGGGATCCTTCGGTCTCATGCATCATACCTGTGAGTGACTGCTGCATAATTAATGCCTCACCCGCAAACTGCGTGCATGATGGGTATGTGGTAGGACGAAATTGTTGGTCATGTCTGGTCGATGGCCTGATATTAAGTGTTTGCTGCAATCGCCCCAACCGATGCGCCTCGGGACATTTCCTTACGGTGCAACCCTGTTCAGGCGGGGTAGCAACCACTTCAAGCCAAGATATCGACCAGAGTTCATACACATACTTTTCTTCTCTACCTGAGTGAATCAGTCAGCCGACACGTTCTGCATGCCGACATGGCTGTACACGAGGTCCAGGTTTTCCAAATGGGTGTCAAAGCCCAGTTCGAGCGTCTCACCTATCGAGAAAAAAGATATGCTCATCACCTCGCTCGGTAAGTGCCACGCGTAGAGCATACCTTCAATGCGCTGATCAGCTTCCTAGAGCTGCTTGACTAGGGACACGAATCGTGCTTCAGCAGGTCTCTCCAGAGTCACGAGCGATCTTTGACTTTATCCTGGAGCTCTACCGCAGCTGTTCCGGCGATTGGCACTCACTCATTAGCCCTGATCTTGACGATGAGAACCTCCAGGCCTTGCTTACGTATTTTGCTACGTTTCTCTCCAACATTGGCAACTACTTTGTATGCCTCAGCATCTCAACTTAACACACTATTATTAATTTTTGCTTAAATAGGGGTCCGGTGACCAAAAGTTCATTCCCGGGGTCAATGATGGTGTTCTGCTGGCACTGGCAGGGAGGTCGCGTACATTGGAGGACTTATATGGCGAGATGCACGGATCTGTAAAGGTTACTCCGCCTTTCAGCCTTGGATATCCTAGCGACGACACCCAGAGCAGTTACTACCTCGGCGGAAAAATTACGGAAGCGGAGATCACTGCGGTGTCGAGGATTCTCGAACAGAACACCATCTTCCCCGAGAACACGAGAATCCGAAAGCGAGACGATAACACGGGCTTCGATGTCCTGCTCGCTTCTGTCGAACGCGGAGAGCTTGCGAGCCTCCCTCTCCCTAATGGGAAGGGCACTGTCAGGCTTGTAGGAGGAGATTATTCTGATGATCTCGAGCGAGTGTGCGCCGAGCTCACAGAGGCGTCCAAATGGGCCGCCAATGATCGGCAAAGTGACTTCCTGAAGCTGTACATTGAGAGCTTCCAGACTGGCAGCCTCGAGGCGTACCGTGAGTCGCAGCGAATATGGGTGCGAGACAAGGCGCCAAGGGTCGAGAACATATTCGGCTTCGTAGAGCCGTATCGCGATCCACACGGAGTCAGGGCCGAGTTTGAGGCTCTGGTAGCCATCGCGGACGACGAAGAGACCAAGCTCCTCGCTAAGCTGGTCCAAAACTCGGACACTTTTATTCGTCGTCTGCCTTGGGCGACTCCGGAGAACAACGGGAAGGGGCCTTTTGAAAAGGATCTTTTCGAACCGCCAGACTTCTCAAGCATACATGGTATGTGAAAAGGTCCATTTGGACTTTTGGCAGATACTAAGGACCCGTAGCGCTTGCATACTGCTCAAGCATCATATTTCCAGGGATCAACTTGCCAAATGTTGGTCGCCCCGGCCTCTCTCCGGAGCTCTCTGACCGTACTAAGAGTCTCTCACAGTACAACGATATACGGCAGGAAGATGGATTCAAGAACGTAATTGTCGCCAATCGAATGTTTGCCGAGAGTCAAGCGAAGCAGTATCCCTTCATCGACGCTTCCGAAGTGAAGCAGTTCACGAAGCACAAGTTTGCAGCCTACTACTGGTGGGTTGTGCTCCACGAGCTCCTCGGCCACGGCACAGGTCGGATGATGGTCGAAACGACAGAGGGCAAGTTCAACTTTGATACCAAAAGCCCACCCATGAATCCTATTACTGGAGAGCCCATCTCCTGTTGGTACAAGCCAGGCCAGACTTGGACTGGCGTGTTTGGGGACCTCGCAACCACAGTTGACGAATGCAGAGCGGAGCTTGTTGGTGCTTACTTGATGGATGATCCTGAGCTGCTCGAGTTGTTTGGGTTCAACGAGACCTCTGAGATACGCGCAGAGGACCGTGAGTTGCCTTCACACCTTTAAGACCTCAGAAGCTAATGTGCACTAATGAGGTGGCGGCAGTGACCTACAACTTGTATCAGCAGCTGGGAATTGATGGTCTGAGAGGCCTGTCCAATTTCAACGTGCAGAGCGGCGTAAGTGGCGAACTGTCCAAACGAGCAGCTCCGTGACTCTGTTTCTGACCTACGTGCTTTGTACTAGACATGGGGCCAAGCACATAGTCGAGTAAGTCGCTATTGACATGGCCGATATTTAGTGATTCGAGAGCTAATGGCCATGCAGGCTCATTTTGCCATACTTAAGTGCTTGTTACTGCACGGTGATGGCGTGATAACTGTCGCCCATGACAAGCCAAAGCAAACCCTGACAGTTCGAGTGCAACGCTCCAAGATCCGCACACATGGAAAGCCAGCACTCGAGCGCATGCTCTTGCAGTTGCACATGTTCAGGTGCACTGCTGATGCTGAGGGCTGTCGTACGTACTATGAGGAGCTGTCCAAGGTTGACAAACAATACCTCGATTGGAGACAGACTGTGATCGCAAACAAGCCCCCTCCTATGATCTTCGTTCACGCCAACACGTTCCTAGACGGGGATAATGTCACCCTAAAGGAGTATGAGCCGACTGTTGAAGGCGTCCTGATGAGTTGGGCGGAACGGGCAGTATGAGGCACCATGGGACTTGGTTGAACAGGGCACACGACTCCTAAAGGACCTGGAACATATAACCCATTTAATAACCAAGACTGTCTCTCTCTTGAACTCCTTGCTACTTTTTCACATCATCCCTCGCTCTGGCCACGGCCTGCCATTCCAGCGCCACAGCCGTTTCCCTGCTGCAGTGCGAGAACATATTGCATGATTGAAACCACTGTCTGAATCACCCCCAGAACTATGCTCGCCGAGCCAAAAACAAGAACACTCCAGAATGCGAACCAAGCGGTGGAATCTCGCTTATCTCGCCACAGCTGGCGGATAGAGTGAGGCTTCTTGCTTTTGGCGTAGGCATTCAATCGTACCATCCTACTCCGAAGGTGTGGGAAGTCACTGGCCAGGACATACTCCTCCCGCTCCGTCAGCGTGATGGGTGACTTGAATCGCTTCCTACCGCAAATCAGGGACAAAATACGGTCGTGCTCTTCGGGCGGTATCTGGTCGAACGGCCGTAATCGCCGAAAAAGGCTTCTCGACCGCCTACTCTGACCGAATAGCAGGCGGTAGGAGAGTAAGATCTCCTGAAGTAGCTCCGTGATGTCCTCCTCTTGTGCCCATGGCACGGAACCACGCTGTCCTACACTGCAGCCATAGATGGAGCTCATCTGACGCCACTCTTTCGTCGCTCGTGCTTGTAGATTGGAGATGCAAAATGAGGGATATCGAAACAGGAAAAGAGTCCCGGAAATCTTGTCCAGTTCCAGATGGCAGGAGATAGAGTCGACCCATTGAATGCTGAGACCGCAGACCTTGGACAGGACGTGCGCATTGAGGTCCGTGGCCATGATTGCCCTCGTCCTGTGGTATAGCTGTTTCTCATCGTCCGTATCTCCAAAGGCACAGTAGTCTCGCGGCGGGAGCATCATACCGAATCCTAGAAGAAAGCTGGGCAGGTCGCATCTACTGGAGAGAGGAGACTGGTTTAGGCACACGTGAGCATCGCCACGATGCCCATGCATCTCATCGGCAATGGCAAACTCTCCAGAGGTACCGCCAACAAGATTGGGCTTGTAAAGCATTGTCTGCCAGCCCACAATCGAGAAGACGATGTCCTTCGCTGAGTGGACAGCCTCGTAGTTATCGTTCATCGACATCAAGTTGGTTTCGACAAGTGCGTTCGCGATTTCGTCGATGGTTTTCAGCCCCGAGACCAGAATGTGCTCTTGCACTTTGTTCCATAGAGGGAGGAAATGTGTGTCCCAGTCCCGATCCGTTGCACGATCCGTTGACAAAGCCAACAGCAGACGCTGAGGCTGGCTGCGAATCTGTCGTTTCACCCACCAGGGATACCACGGGAGATTGTCGAATGAAGAACTCGTTTCCGAATCATTGGGCATCGTCGATTTGTCCCATGTCGTCAACGCTATACCTTAAAAGCACTGATTAGTCCCAAAGTCACAGATTCGCCGGCCAGTCCGTTTTGGCATGACGACGTGACCAGACGTTTGCTTACCGAGTTGCTGCTCGGCTGAGCTGGCCATGACAAACAACAGCGGCTATGAAGCAGCAAAACTGCATCGTGTCTTCTAGTGCTTGTCTCTCGGAAACCGCAAGAGGTTTCGTGGGAGCTTTTCTGGCCGCTTCTCCTTTCTGGTCGATCAAAACAGGTGGACACGGAATGGCATGAAGTCGTAGGCTGCCCTGCGAGCTTGAGGGCTCGCCCATTTCAACCCAGAACTGTCTGTTTTGACAGACTTACGCGCCCCGTGTGTTGCTCTGTGATACCTTGTACGATCGGATGAGACAGGTCAAGATGCCCCGGTGTTGATACGTTGGTACTTCGCCATGTCACTGCATGGGATGGAACCAGTTCCAAGGTATGATTGGGGGTCGACATCGTTCCACCGCTGATTGTGCATAGAACCCTGCAGCCGCCCGTAAATGTTCGTCGGCCCAACCTACGCTTCGGCCCCTTTCCGCCCCCGGTTCAGTGCTCCAAAGGCCGCAATGCACCTCTCTAGTTGTGATCTCTGCGATCGCCGCCTTGCGAATCATACTCCCCCCTTCACGCAGTCTCTGTGTTGGCTGACAGCAATCGGAACGGAGACCGGCGATGGCGACAGAGTGAGTGTGCTCCCCGGGCCCAACAACCGCCCTGATGGACAGGCTTCTGCTGACTTCAGACGTAAAGCCGAGCATCGAGCCCGTTGTGGCACCAAGCTTTAGAGAAGTACCGAGACGAGCTTCGAGGGGCAGGAGATTACGATGCGATCCAAAAAGTCCGCACCCTTGACGAGTTGATCGATTCATTCGCGTCAATGCAGGACGCTGCTCCAAGTAATTACGCTGGAGTGCTCTCTCTTAGCAGGATCGCTCCAAGGCTCAAGTTTGTCGACGACTTTTCGGCAGTGCTAGCCCTGTGCTTCGGCGCTGATGCGGGCCTGACTGCCGCTGTTTGGGGCAGTATACGGTTGATCCTTTCACACGCCTCGTCAGCCGCAGAGACGCTCCAGGACATCCTCGACATGTTGGAGGAGCTCAGCTTGACACTCCCGAGACTTCAAGTCTACGAACAGACGTTGCCACCGAGCCGCCAACTCCAGCAGGCCTTGCTGGACGTGTACTGCGAAATCATTTGCTTCTACGCCCGGGCCATTCACTTTCTTCACAACAACCCCCATCTAGTTCTCAGAAAGAATGCATGGCAGTCCTTTCGCAGTGATTTCTCCCGGACGATCATGCGTATAAAGCGCATGTCGTCGACTGTCGAGAGCGAAGCCGACCTGGCGCGGATGCGCAACGATGGGCTCCAGTATAAAGAGGTGCTGGAGCTCCTGACCACCATGAAAATGAAGGCGTCGGGCGACGGAAAGCCAACACAGTATAACAATATCCCGTTTGCGGCCAACGCCAGATTCAGCGGCCGCGATGAACTCCTCGCGGCTATTGACGAGACCATCGGTCCAGACAGTGCTGCAACTTCGCTCAAGTCCGTGGCGTTGGTCGGCATGGGAGGTGTTGGCAAAACACAGAATGCGATGCGATTCGCATACCGGAATCTGGCCAAGTTTGACGTTGTTCTGTGGGTTGCAGCCGACAATGCCATTTCAATTGGGCAGACCTTCCGCACCATCGCTACCGGATTGGGCCTCCACGAAAGTGAGGAGAGGGTAGACGCGGCTGCGGCGATCTACAAGGTGAAGCAGTGGCTGGCAACATCGAGTGAGCACTCTGATTCCAATGAGTATTGGATGTTTTCTAAAATGCCTGATAACGTAGGGTCTTCGTATCTTCTCGTTTTCGACAATGCCGACGATATTGTCGCCCTGAAAACGGCGTGGCCGGGGACGGTCCGAGGCTCGGTTCTCTTGACCACGCGAGACTTCACCGTCGCCATGCCACTAGTCACCAAAACAATTTCAGTTAGCCCACTGAGTGTTGACGACGGCAGCCGAATGCTGTTGAAAGCGATTGACCAAGATCGCCCGTCGTCAGAGGACGAATTACACGCTCGTGCGATAAGCAGGATTTTTGGCGGACTGCCCTTGGCTCTTACACAGGTCGGCGGGTTCGTGAAGCAGAGAAAGCTGTGCCTGCGAGACTTTCTGCCACTTTATCGGCGCCACGCTACCAAAATCGATGCAAGGAAGGCCCCTGGGAGCGATTACGAGCATACTCTGAGCACGGTGTGGGACGTGTCCTTGGAGAAGTTGACCGACATGTCGGTTCGATTTCTGAATCTACTCTCTTTCTTCGACCCGGACGGTATTTCCGAGGAAGTCCTGCTGCGGGGGTCACGGGACATCGGGGATCAAGACTTTTTCTTTCTATCTGACGAGATGGAGTAAGCCAAGCATGAGACAACTGGTCGAGGCCCCATACTGACATCAATGATTTAATACCAGCGTTGGCGATGCCTCCGAAGAACTCCTCAGAACGTCGCTTGTCGACCGAACAGCCGAGTCCGCAAGCTTGTCGATGCATAGACTGTTGCAATCAGCAGTCCAAAAGAGGCTCGACGAGTTGGAAAGCACCCGGTACATCGACCTTGTGGTTGACTTGCTCTGCTGGGGATTCCCGGATCACTCGAGCGTCGACATTGGTCACCAAATAGCATCCTGGACACGCTGCGAGAAATGCCTACCACACGTTAACTATCTAGTCCAGCTGGTCAAGAATCAGGGTAAGAGCCCGGGAGATCATCGAAAGTACGCTGACCTCCTGCTCCGATGCGGCTGGTGCGTGAATATTATGAAACGGCTCGTCTCTCGGCCCTGCTAAATGGACATGAACCTCGGGGCAGGTACCTCTACGAGAGTGAGATGTACACTATTGCCAAGGCAATGGTTGAGCAGGCCGTTTCTACCTTTGAGAACAAGACAAGTCTAGAGTATGCGAGTGCCATTGACCTTGGCGGGCTGATAGACCTTGATCTAGCGCAGCCTTGCAAAGCTTTGGAGCGCTTCAAGCAAGCTCTGGAAATCCGCAAGGCCAGTCTCGGACCAGAGGACCCGTTCATTGCATACAGCCTAAACAACATGGCCCTGGCGTATTGCGAGATGGGCGAGTTGGACCTCGCCTTCGCCGCGCACGAAGAGGCAATTCGTCTCAGGCTCGCGGCCAAAAGCGACAGGATCGGCAACTCGTACAGCAACATGTCGAGTCTCCTTCTCCGCATGGGTCGTCCTGACGAGGCCGAAGAGATGCTTGCCAGATGCCCATCCTTGAAAGACTTTAACGATGAGACTTTCCTTGCCACCGGTAATCCTCGCTTCTCCGGCGATATGGTCTTGCTTTCTCGCATTCGCCATGCGCAGGGACGAATGGGCGATGCTTTGAGGCTGGCGTCCAAGGCCTTGGCCTTCCGCCGGAAGCTGCTCGGCAACCGCCTCAAGACATGCGATTCGCAGTACGACGTTGCTTCCATGTTGTTGAAGCAGGGCCACGAGAGCTCAGCCATGTAAGTAGGTAGACCGGCATGGTCGGTCCACATCATCCATGACTCATATACGGCAACACCTCCACTGACTTTTGGCGCAGACAGCTACTGGAAGAAGTCGTAGGCATGTCGGAAACGTTCGTTGAGGGGGAGGGCCAGCGGGCACGAGCCCTGTACAAGCTTGCGGAGGTGTATGGAAGCCGAGAGGGCATGCGTGCGGAATGCTTGGCCTTTGAAGAAAAGGCACTGGCCCTGCGAGCATCGTTGCGACCGGACCTTCAAGACGCTCCGTTTGAGGAGGCCGAGTTTTCCAAGTTGTGTTTATGGATGCTGTGGTAGATGTGCCCGTCAGTCAGGTCCCATCAGCTGCGATTTCAAGAAAGTGGAAACTGTGCATTTGTTTCGGGCTTATGTGACTCGTCATCGCGGCCTCTCTGTCACTAATGTCCGCCCCAGCTCGCACTCGGATCCTGCCGCCCACCAGCAGGGATCCTCGGCGGGCTGTCCCCCAGTGGAACCTGGAAGCTCCAGCCCAGTTCCCCCGCAGCCAAGCCCCGCAGGCTACAGCGGGTCCAGCGCCTCCTTCGGGGTCGTCGACAGTCCGAGCCGGGCGCTGCAATTGCGAATCGCCAGCGCCTGATTGGTAGGTGCCCTGTGCCTGCTCCCTGGGCGGGCAGCTCTGCCGTGTCACTTCAGTCCAGGGAGGGCATGGATGGAAGCTCAGCTTATCCCGGAGCTTGCGGGTGCAGCTGCATTTTTGCAACGTGCTTGTTTGCCTGAACGCCCAGGCTAGGCCGCATTGGAAAGCTGAAGCTGGAACGAGCCGCGCGATACCCTTATTATGGGCTGATCTCGTCGTAGCAGGCACTCCGCCCGGGCGATACTGGACTTGGCTCCGACAACCTCCCGCGTGCCCATCGTCCCGCGCTGCGAAGCTATCGCGAGTTGCGACATACTGCACCAGCCGAGATAGCAACAACGCTTGCCGTATCCGCATCCAACGACCGCGCCTGGGCATCGCGGCGAACGAGCTGCTTGACCACCCATTCTCTGAACGAGACGACGACGACGCCGCCGCCGACGCCTCCGTCGTCACAGACAATCCAACAGTCGACAGCGCAACACACGCGTTGCCATCACCCCCGTCAACCATGTCGCGCCTCTTCCCCCACACCGCCTACGCAGAGGACCAACCCCTCTCGCACCTCATCCTCACCACCCACGTCCTCACCCGCGGCCTCACAGCCGGCACCCTGCTCGGCACGCTCGTCGCCACCGCGCGGCACTCCATCCCCGCGCTCCGCCCGCGCGCCGCCTCCGCCGCGGCCCTCGCCCGCCCCCTCCCCGCCAAGGTCCTCCTCGGCGCCTCGGCCGGCAGCGTCGCGGGCGTGGGCCTCCTGGCCGTCGCGCTGGCGGCGCGCATGCGCGGCCGCGAGGACGTCGAGTGGCGCGACCGCGCGTGGCGCCTGCTCGAGAACGAGGGCCAGCTCGAGACGGACGACTGGACGTATGCCGGCATGGGGCTCGCGGCGGGGACGGCCCTCGCGACGGGGAGAGTGAAAGCCCTGGGGTGGAGGGCGCTGGTGGGCGCGATGGGGTTGGGGAGCGTCGGGGGGATGGTGGGCTATATGGCGTGGAGGTATGGGTTGAATGGGGGAAGGTTTCCGGATAGGAGGAAGAAGACGGAGCGGCCGGGCGGGCTGTGAACTTGTGAAGAAAGGCGTGCGTGCGTGCGTGCGTGACGGTGGAGGGACGCAAAAGGACGAGCGAGAGCGGCTCGGCCGCGACAGATCACCACTTAACCGGCTTGTATAAGTATTGCATCGGGGCGTTTGGAAACGACAAACTGACAACCTGTACATTATGTAGCAAAAATCCATTGTTATATGCTTGCTGCCTTGTTCCCTCTATATGGGAAGCGCGGCCCGTTTCTAATCTACGGAAACCCCATCACATCTACACAGACGCTCGCTCGCCCGCTCGCTCCCATCTACAGCTTGGCCTGCGGCGGGGCCACGTCCTCAATCTTCTGGAACTGGTAGAAGAACTCGAGGCTCTTGGGGTTGAGCAGCGTGCCGCTCGGCTTGACCGTCTTGCCCGAGATGATGCTCTTGACGGGCAGCTCGACCTTTTTGCCGTTGACGGTGACCTGCGTCGAACAACGTCAGTCCGTCGAACATGTAGGGTTTGATATGGGGATAATGGGAGATATTAACGCACCGGAATGTCGGGCACCTCGAATATGTACTTGGGGACGTGCCGCTTCGTCATCTCCCGCGCAATCGTGTCCTTGATCTTGGCCACCAGCGCCGCGTCGAGCTTCCTGCCCGGCCGCATGAGCAGGAACAGCACGACGCGCTCGTCGAGGTCCGTCTCGCGGCGCTGCCCGACGCACAGGCTCTCGGCCACCTCGGCCACGAAGCGCCGCTCCAGCACCGCGTAGATGTCGGAGCTGCCGAACCGCACGCCGCTCGGGTTCAGCACGCCATCGGAGCGGCCCAGCATCAGAACGCCCCGCGTCTTGGGGTGCACGGCGCAAAAGTCGCCCTGCGCCCACACGCCCTCGAACCGCCCAAAGTACGAGCTCACGTACTTTTTGCCCGGCGCCGGCTCCGTGTCGCCCCATAGGTACAGCGGCACGTTGGGGAACGCGCCCGTCGAGACGAGGTCGCCTGCCTCGCCATCCGGGAGTGCTACGCCGCGGCTTCCATCGGGCAGATCGTGGTCGAAGATGGCGATGGGAACGCCGAGAGAGCCGCCCATGCAGCCGCCGGCGTAGAGAGGCTCCAGCGGGTTTTCCATGACGAAGCAACCGGCCTTGGGATACTGTGTTAGTGGAATGTGTCTGGCTGGTTGAGGGAAGGACAAGGGCGAAGAGACTCACAATGTCGGTCCCGCCAGACATGTTACCCAGCTGCACGTGTTTCGGAAAGGCAACGTCGTAGAACCAGTTGAACATCTGTTCCGGCAGCACCATGCCCGTGCTCGTCACCAGCCTGAGCCTCGATAGGTCGGCCAGCTTGCGGGGCGCAATGTCCCGCTTCATGAGCTCCGTCATCCATCGCGGGCTGATACCCAGGATGGTGACGCGCTGCTCTTCGCACATGCGTACCAATACGTCCGGGCCGGGCAGGAACGGCGAGCCGTCGTACAGGATGCTGCGGCCACCCATAACCATGTGGGCTATGCTAGCAAGGTACATGACCCAGCCAGTCGTCGTATACTGCAGATGCACATCGTCAGGCCCCAGGTTGCGGTGCAATCCGCCCTCCTTCTGGGTGGACATGAGGACCGTGCCGACGCCGTGGACAATGGCCTTGGGGATGCCCGTCGTGCCGGACGAGTAGTAGACGACCATGGGGTCTTGGAAGTCGACGCGGACGATGGGCGGGGGGCTGGCGAGGCGGGCCCCGGCCTGTACAAACTGCTCGAGACGCTCCGTGCTCGGGATGGAGGACGTATCGTAGGGCTTGCCAGCGAAGCGTTGGATGGCGACGATGGCCTCGAAGCTGGGGCACTGCTTCATGCCGTCGACCATGCCGCGGATCTTGTCGCGCAGGTCAAGCACCTTGCCGTTGTACAGTGCGCCGTCGTCAAAGAAGACGAACTAGGGACGTGGATGTTAGCCTAACTGACTGAGGGCACCTTCCAGTCTCGACGTACCTTGGGGTCTATCTGCGTCGTCCGCTGCAGTAGACCGGAAACACCCATGTCGGTCGAGCTACTGCTGAAGACGGCGCCGAGCCACGTCGTCGCGAGGAAGACAACGGCAGTTTCCAGAGCATGGGCGGCGACGGCGACGACCCGGTCGCCCCTCTTGACACCTCGCGCGCTCATGGCGGCGGCCATCTGGGCGACGCGAGCACGCAGCTCTCCCCACGTCACGTCGCGGACTTCGGTGTTGCCCTCGCGCACCTCGGTCAGGGCAATCTTGCTGTCTTCCTTGTTCAGGGTGGTGCGCTCGCCGGCGGGGGCGTCGCCAGGTCCGCGACTCCATAGCAGGTTCTCGGTCCAGTTGAGGCGGACGCCTTCGAACCAGCGCGGCAGCTGCGAGACGGGGATAGACTCGTCAACGACCTTGGTATAAGACCCCTCGTGGATGCTGTGCTGCCAGTCCCACAGCTGCTCGTAGAAGATGGCGCGGTTGTCGCAGGACCACTTGTACAGGTCGTGGAAATTCTAGGGGGGGTGTTAGTTTTGCGCACGCGATGAGACGAGACGAGGTGGCCCAGGCGTGCGCGTTACCTTTAGTGAGAGGCCGTGCTTGCGGTTGGCGTCCTGCATGAACCGCCACATGGAGGTGCTCTTGGGGTTGGGGTGCTCCCATAGCTTGCGCGGCGTCGCGTTGACATCCATTGCGACTGTAATTCAATCCTTTGTCCGCAGCTGCAACGGTTCGCGGGTCGAATCTCGGGGCGCCGGGAAAGAGGTAAAGAAAGAAGGGCACCAACCGTCAACAAGGCATGCCGGGGGGGAAGGCCCCCCTCAAGTAGTAGACGGCAGCGTAACACATAGCCTCGGGATCTGTAAGTGAGCTGGTGTTGCTTTGGCCTGCCTTCCCCACAATGTCCTCGGGACGCGGATGGGGCCCGGATGGGGCACCGCCGCCGCCGCAGCGCGGGGAGAGAGGGCATGGGCCCAACCGTGGTTGGTGCCGCTTTAGGCTGGGCAGCTGGAGGGCGCGTCGGGTGCTTCGATAAAGCGGGCTCGCCCTGCCCGTTCTGATCTGGGTTGGAAGGAGCTGGAGAGCTGGGCACTTTTTTTTCTATGGGAGCGGTGGCGGCCCCCAGCGACGGATGCTCGTTACAGCAAGCGGTGTGGGAGGGAGGATTTGGGACGCGGGCAGCAGCCAGACGGACCACGGGCTCTTCACCTCCGGTCATCGGCTCCTTCCAATCGCTGAGTAAGGGCCGCCCACTGACAAGCCAAAGCCGCAGAGTCGCTCCTTCCAACGACCGCGACGAGCCAAGTGACTTGCCGTGCTTGGATGCTGCCATGCTTGGACACTCTCAGGGAGAGCAGCGGCAACCATGGACTCCAAGATTTGCAATATCCGCGACCCAGTTCTGCACGTTTGGGTGGTCGCACGCCCTGTACAACAACGGCATGCCTGTACTTCAGCCCCGGGCGCGACTCCATCGATTCATCAACAACTCGATCGTCCAGGACAAGACTGTTGATACCGGTGCCGAGACAATGTACTTGCAGTCAACCTCTACCTCATGGGATCCCCAAGTGACCGTTTGACTATTTCGGAAACGGGCGGTGATGTCAAGCTATAGCACGACGTTTCACCATTTTGGCAAGCATCGCTTGGCTGCAGTCGGCCATCGCGGTGACAACCTGGAAGTGCTATGATGCGCGCAATGGAGCGGCAGCGCGCCTCCGCCTCGAGCCACCAAGCTTCATATATGCCCTCGGGTCTCGAAGGGACCACCACCACCCTCGCCAGCCCTTAGAGCAGCAAGCACGCCATGCCAGAAACCCCCCACCACCCGCTCGCGCCCACCCCAATCCCTCCCCGCCATTCGACGTCAAACGTCAACGTTCGGCACCAGCTCGGCTCCCCTCCCCCAAAGCCGCGCCGCGTCCGACTCCGCAGAGCACCAGGTCCGCACCGCAGCCCGCACGCCCCCAGGCAAGGAAAAGGAACCCCAATCCCGCTCTCTGGGCCGCGCGAGCGCGATTGTTGCCGCCGCCGCACCACAGCAGTCGCCACGGCCCCTGACGACTGCGACCTGCGACCTGCGACCGCGGAGACTCCGGGGGCCAGCCAGGCCTAGCAGCGAAGCAAAACATCCACCCTTTGTGGTCCGTGAAATAAGAAACCCAATCCCGCTCGCTTATGGGCTCGTACTACGTACATTTTGATTGATTGATCGATCGACGGATTGTTCCCGCCGCAGCCGCGTACCCCTTGTCCCCGCATGAACATTTATCTGCAACGCGTCCCGTGCAGAAATGGAAAATCACTGCGTGGAAATGAAGTGAAGTGCCGAGTCGAAAGATTACTTGTTCGGCAGGTTCGTCGCATCCACCCGTGGACGCAAACGCTATGCCGTGGCGTAAAACCACCACTGCTTGCTATTGTCCATTACTTCCCTGCACGAAGATTGTCCTAACTTCTTCCCCCCGTACGTACTATTTCCCCTCCGCGCGAGGAACAAGCCGGAGCAGACGCGGGAGAGAAGCGGGCTAGTAGTGGTGCTTGAAACGCATCATCGTCATGGCCGCAAGATACTTCGCAGCCACCCGGCGGGACGGAGGTCCAAGCCCGTGTGTATTTGGCGCTTTCCTTCCCGTTGCACGTCTGCGTCAAGAGGCACCGTCCCGGCAAGGGACACAAGAAAAATAGAGTGGCGCCGGGGCTCCCCGCCGCCGTGGCGGAGGGCAGCTGAGGTGTGGCACATACGAGTTCCGGCGGCGGGATCGGATCCGAACTTGGCAAGGCCGAGACAGCCCGCTCGGGAAAGAAAAGCGACGTGCGGAATCGACGTCGGATCCGGCGCCGGGACGGGCAGCGAGTATACCGCGATGCATAGCCGTCTGTTTCCGCACAGGACATACGGCAGCGAGTCTGCGTCTCTAGTATCTCGTGGTGATGATGCGAGCTCAAGTCTCAAAACGCCAACCTCGCATAGTCACACTTGTCATACGAGCAGGTTTCATCAATCATAGCACAACGGTCGGACGCCCCAAAGGTCACGCTGTAATCATCAACTCTGTTTCTTGTCGTGTAGTACAAATTATCATGTCATACAAAGCCGCCTCTAATAACGATACAACACGCTGGCAGTTTATGCCGCCTTGCCCTCCCAAACGCCGTGCTGATTCATTAATCAGTCCCGCCGCCCGCCGTCCATTACCCTCCGAAACCCCAGTTCCCGTAAACAACCATCCTCCCGCTCATTATCCGTAGAAACTCCAGTCCCCCCCCCCTGTGCGACGTCGAGCCTTGGCAGCTCAGAGGTACGGCATCCACAGCGCGTCGCACTGCGCCAGGTGCATGGGGTTGACGGCCTTGGCAATGGCGTCAATGACCGTCTGGTTCGCCGGCAAGTTGCCCGACGGGTTGTGTGCCAGGCTGGCCGCCCTCTTAACGATGCTATCGCTGTTCACCTGGACAGTCTCGCGGAGCTGGCTCTCACTAATGCCGTTCCGGTGGCTGCTCGTCAGCCAGAAGATCATCTCGTCCCGTACGAACAGCGTCAGCGCGTGCTCCAGCTCGTGCTCAGGCTGCGTCAGGCACCGCGCAATGGCCATGAGCGAGCATGCAAAGATACCCTCCATCGCCAGCGGGCCCATGAGCACCTGCAAGTTGGGCGTGAGTCGGAATGGCACCGGCTCGGGATTCGTGAAGAAGGGCTTGTTGTTGCTCATAAACGACATGAGCTCCGAGCCCCAAATGTTACCCGATCCGCGTGCAATGTTGAGCTTGGACGGGTAACGGTTGTGCATGTATAGGATGTACGTCATAAACGTCAGCGCCGACAGCTGGTACGAGAACTGCCGTCGGAACAGCCAGAAGTCGGCAAACTGCGGGTACACGGCCTGGAAGTATTGTAGTGCGATGGTCGACGGCACCCACTTCTCTTGAACGGCGTTGAACACTTCCAGTCGCGCCGTCGGCGTCAGTTCGACCTTGCCCTGCTGTATCAAACAAAGATTAGCCTCCCTCGCCTCCATACCAGTGACAGCACGAGCACAAACCTGAGTCTTAGTCTCCAGCACGCCACGCAACTTCTCCAGCGTGAACAGGACTGGGTCATCCTTGGGCAGGCCCGCGTGTCGGCAGTGGTCCTCGTACACTGCTTGCAGAGAGATGTACGATGTATCTTCCTGGACGATCCGGATGTGCGGCGCAAGAGGAACCATGAGCGGCAGCGTGAAATGAAGGTCGCGTCGGCGGCTCTCCTTCTTCCTGTTCAGCGTCTGGTTCAGGTGTCGGAACAGCTGCAGAATCCTCTCCTCACGCCTGCAGTGCCTGGCCGCCGGATGCTGCACCGCCCAGGGGTGGACGCTGCCGTCGTGGCCGCGCATCTTCAGGCGTCGATACGACGCGCTATACGACCGCACCAGGTCCACGTTGGGCAGGAAACGCTCGATCCGGATGAAGTCCTGGTTCTTGTCCTTGTGCTGCAGATACTGGCCCGGTATCTCGACGTCATCGAACTTCTGGTACCGGAATTCGCTGAGATGGGGCGAGAACTGCTCCAGAGGCGACTGGCAGACTCGGCGGTCCAGCTTCTCCTCGAACTTTGTGCGCCAGCGTCGGAGCTTGTGGATGTACTCGTACATTGTCGGCTTCACTTCCACAAAGTCTGCCTCGAACGACTTCTTGATGTGGTTTGGCAGAATTGTCTCGGCGAAACGAGTGATGTTGGTCTCCGTTGCGGATGGCAGCTTGACGCTTTTAGCGAAGGACGCGGGCGTGCGGCTGACGTACGTCAGCGCATCGTTGAGGAGCGCGACAATCAGGCGGTAAGCATCTTCATCCGGGGGACACTTGAAGTGCTTCTGGATCTGGTCCACCATGGTCTCCATCGACAGCGCGAGCAGAGGGAACGCCGTCTTGAGCACCGCCATGATCTCCTCGGTGAGGTCCCACGGGGGCTTCTTCTGGCCCTGCCCTTGACCCTGACCGGGTGCCTGCGCAGTTCCGGCGGGAGTCGCGGCTGCTGGTGCAGGCGTAGCCGAAGACGCGGCGTTGGCGTCGCCGCTTTCGGTCTTGACCTGTGCTGAGTCCCCTCCGCTGGCAGTTCCGGGCCGCGAAGTGGCTCCCTCCGTCTTGGGGGGTTCTTGCTTGGCCTGCGACGGCGACGCACTGGCCTTACCGTTCGACGCCGTGGACTGCGCACGCTGGCGGTTCCGCTCCTTGGCTTCCTGGTTCTTGCGGATGAGGTGCATGTCCTCGCGATTCGTGCGAAGCTGAAAGTACAAAGCTTGTGGGTACGACTTTGCAATGCTCAGCAAGATCTGGTAGACGCGAGGAGCCTCCTTGTGACCTAAGCCGGTGAGCAGCTGCGGTATGAAAGTGATCCAGTACCACGTAGGCGTCTCGCCCTTGAAATCGTCGAAACCCATGGCGATAGTGCCCTTGGAGTCGTCCAGGCTGAGGAGCCAAAGGATTCGGGCCAGAAGCTTCCGAGACTTGGCATTCTTGTAACTGCCCGCGGCTTGCAGGTAGGAGGTCAAGGCCTGCCGGGCTGCGTTCAAGTCGGAAGGATCCTCCTTGAACTTGCGGTCGTTGAAGTAGCCCCATTCGGCCCACGCCTTTGCCGCGCCAATGTCAAAGTATAAGGCGGTGCCGTAGGCGTGGTCGGCTTCTTCCTTTTGGTTCAGCTTCTCGAGGAACATGCCCTTGAGGGTGTAGAACTCCGCCTTCTGCTGCGCATTGAAGTAATTCAAGTTGGTATTGTTGATCACGTCCAATCCGCTAGACAGCTCATCGGGGTTCTCGTAGTGGCACTTGGCCTGCTCGCGGAGTTTGAGGAACGCTTCCTGGATTTCAATGTTCGGAAGAGTGTAGATGCGACTCAGCTGGCTGATGCACACCTCTGGCAGGTTGTGCTTGCGAGCCACGTGTGCGAACCTGTTGATGATCCAAGCGGTCTCGTGGTAGCCGCGGTAGGCAAACGAATTGGCGCTGCCTGCATTCGACTGATTCTGTTGCGGAAGCAGCTGCAGATAAGTTTGGTTGATCAGGCTGAAGATGTGCTGTCGCCAGGTCACCAGATCCTGCCAAGCAGTGATGTCGTCCCAGACATTAGGGAGCCTATCCCGCCACGCGCCAAGCAGCAGCTTGAGTTCGCCCGACTTGCCGTCCAAGTTGGAGGAGTTTGTGATCGCCAAGCTCTGGCAAATCACGCTGGCGTCGTGCAGTTCGACAAGCTGCTGGAAGTTTTGCAGCACCGGGATGTGGGCCTTCGTGAGCCGTTCGGGCAACTGATGCCATTTTCTGATCGAAAGCTGAATTGCCTCATCACAGACGCGAGCAAAGTCGGTAATGGTCTCCTGCTGGTTGTGGAACTTGAGCAGAGACATGAACGCCTGGAAGAAGGCTCTTCGCGGTGTCGGGGCATCCATGACGCCTTTGATGACATTGTCCAAAGCCTCCCGGTGTTGAGCGTCTTGCCACATGTCCGTGTTGCGCCAGGCGCACTCCAACAGCAAGTCCTGGAAATTTTCATGCTTGGCGAAGTCCTGGAGGATCTCCCACTGTTGAAGCTTCTGGGCGCACAACACCCAATGATCTTCCCAGAGCATGTACTCAGCCTGGGAGAAGGGAATGACTCCAGTGCGCGCCTTCAGCTGCGCGGCCTCGTAGAGCTTCTGAGCCTTGTCCCACATGCCGTTCTGCTCGTAAGACAAGCCAGCGTTTGTTTCAACAAACTGGCACCGCCGTCGCCATGTGCCATAGAAGAGATCTTCCTCGCAAAGAGACGCATAGAGATCGACGAGTGCGTCTAGGTTACTCTCCCGAACAGTGGCGGAGTCGGCCTCGGAATAGATCGCGGCGTTTTCGAGTTGTACCAGGGCCGTGTACCATGCATCGTATGTCTTGGCCTCAAACTTCAATACGTGTGGCGGCAGCTTGCATTCCGGCCAATTCTTCGCGGTACCCTCGATCAAAGACTGTACCACATTTGGCCGCTTGTCGATCTGTCGACTGTGGTAGTCTTTTGTGAGTAGAGCCACCATACCATGTTGGAGGTCGGGCCTCTCATCTCGAGCAGTGGCAGACCAGAAAAGCGGGAAAATGGCCACCCAGAGCTGGTGGGCGAGCTGTGTGTCTGCGTGCTGGAGCTGTGCCAGCGGCTCGAGGATGTCTCGAACCTTGACCTCGCCAAGCTCTGCAACGAATCTGCGGTGCCCCGCCATGAAGGCATCGAACTTGTCGTCAGACATCATGTTAGGCTCTCTTGAGTCCTTGTCCTTGGGATAAACGGCGGCCAGCTGTGAGGCAGAGGGCACATGGAAGTCCTCTGGATTGAGCTGAATACTCGCGTTCTGTTCCACGGCACCGAGAAGTAGGTGGGACGCCTGCGCAAGCCAGTAGGAGTCGGCCAATGTGTCCCAATTCTGCACAGTCAGAACGTAGGAAAGGCGAACGCTGGCTGTCTTCGACAAGCTCTTGTCGAAAATGGCCATGAAGCGGTTTCGCATGGCGACGTCGGTAGCCCTGGTGCCTATGAGGAACGCATGCTCCATACGCACGGTCAATTCAGTCCTTGTGATCTTCGGATCTTCGTAGATTCGAATCACCAGCTCCAGGAACCTTGACAGCATGGTCGGATCCTGCCTGTGCTCGAACGAAAGCATCTTGTGTAGCACGGCCGTCTTCTCCTTAAGAGTGGGCCAGGTTCCTTCCGAGCGGAATACCCAGCCCTCGACCATGTTCAAGATCTCTGTGCACAGCTCAATATGCATCGACTTTTCGACCAAGGTGGCCAATACGCTCAGGAACGGTCTTCGGTTGTCCCCGAGATGCTCCATCCTCAGCGCCACGGTCTGGATCTCCTTGATCATCAGTTTGGTCTGAATGTCCAAGTCATAGGCAGACATCTCGCCCGGGGTTGCACTGCTGTCTTGGCCGCGGTTGTTTGCATTCGCAGCCTGACTTGCGACCGCATTATAGTGCTGGACGTGTTCGCGGGCGTGCTTGCTCTGCAGCGCTTTCATCAGCGCGGGGATGTGCTGGTCGATTGCAGCTGGCTTGCGGTTCCCAATTGACCAAAGGAGATTGACACCAGAGATGTAGGAGGTGCTGTTCATAGCCTCCGTGGCGGCCTGAGAGAGGTACGTGATGATCTCCGACGTCTGGACTTCCGACTCGCCCTCGGCGTCCGCGTCTTCCATCGGAGTGTCCTCTGGCACGGCGTCAAGAACGCGCTTGATGATGGACTTGAGAGCTCGTTCATCATCATACGTCTTGTCTGAGAGATGAAGACAATCCTGGATCTCGGGGTTTTCGCACTTCAAACACTTCTCCAAGACCTTCTGGATCGCTGATACGTGCTTTTGGATCCACTCGTCGGTTTTGAAGTTCAACACGATGCGCACAACCTGCAGGGTGTTGATGATGTTTGTGAGGAATCTCTCGTCGTACTTCTCCTTGTCGGACGGATCGGCGGTCAAGATAGCCTGCGTCTTCTCGCTGCCGAGGATGACGTCAGTGACATTGGGGAACAGATCCAGCTCGAGATCGCCCCAATACTGAGGCTGCATCAAATTGTAGAGAAGTTTCATGGCCCTCTTGCAGAGATCTGTGTTCGGTGGCGGTAACGGAACCGTCGTGGCGTTCTGGTCCCGGGGTTTAGCAGACGGTAGCTGATATCTCTCATTCAGCTGCGCAATGAACTCGACGAGGTACTTGACCATCTTCTGTCGGAACACGGGCTGGATCTGATACTCATTTCGCTCGCCCTGGGCTGGCTGCCGAATGTCGCTAGGCGAGGACATCGGCTGATCGGCATCCAGCTTTCGCTTCCTCGAGGTGGGCGACATCGATAGATCGCGCATTGCCAGCGTCGGCGAGCTTTTCCCCTCCACGCGCCATTGTTCCCACGTCCACACAAGCCACATCATGTTCAGGGCGAGCTTCTTGCTTTCGTGGGACGGGTTGGGGGGCGCCGCTACCTTTCGTAGCGAGGTGATGAGCAGAATGATGTATTTGTCTCGCGCCTCGTAGAACAGCTCGGGATGGCGAACCAGGAAATGGAAGATGCTCGTCATCTGTTGCACGTTCTGGCCCTCATCCGCAAGGATGCGGCGTGGCGCGACGGCCCAAGGCGCGTTACGCTCGTTGACGCCCGTGCCGCCACAGCGCTTGGGTAGGACCGGGGCTATGAGTTCCAAGGCTTGTGTCACCAACGCCCGTCCTTCGTTCTGGTTGGTCTTAAGCAGAGAGAGGTAGACTTGGCTGACTATCTTCGGCGGCGTCTCGTAGTGCGCGATGAAGTAGCCGATGACCACGTACGCTGCATGCTTGTTGATAACGTCATCAAGCCGGATAAAGGTCCAGCCAAACTTAATGATGTCCTTGCGTGCATCCTGAAGCGTTGTGTGGTAATACTTGACGAGCATGGCCGACAGCTGGAGAACCTCAAACCTAGTGTGGTCTATACCGGGCTGCGCCTGGTCGTCGGGCGCCATTTCAGGGTGAACCTTCCAGATCCTGGTGCTGACTGCATCGATGACAGACCGGTCCATCAGGCGTTGCGCCCTGTTTGGCTCGGGATGGTTCCAGTGTCGCATGACGTCCATTGCGACGATTGGATTCACGATGTAGTGAAGCAGGAAGTACTTTGTCTTGTTGGACGCCACTTTTCCGGAATACGTTTCCAGGCACCTCAGAAATGTCGTCTTCCAGAACTCAACGGAGTCGCTGGTGATGATGTTCTCGTAAATGAACGAGAACAGGGACTGGGTGGAGCGAAGCTCATCGCTCGTCACAGACTCAATCAGGTTGAGCAACGAGTCCAGATCCTTCGGGTTGCGCTTCAGTGACTTGACCAAAACGTTCATAAGCTGCTCCGCAGCTTGATAAGCTGGCAAACGAAGAGTAGCCGGTAGAGTGTAGCTCCGCAGGTGGTTTTCGAGCTCCTTGCCGGTCGTCTTGAGCCAAGCGATGTGTTCTTTCTTGTCCATCCAGCCGCTGTTGGCGGGCCAGCGACTCAAAGAGTCAAGCACGTGGATCGTGTTGACAACAGCCACAAACTTCTTCTCGTTGTTTTGGGCCATGACCTCATTGCATTTGTTGATCAATCCCTCCATGTTCTCGGTGGCCACGTCTCTGAGTGCTGTGCTGTCGGGATGGCAGAGGACTTGAGCCAAGAGCCGCCCGTACTTGAGATCGTCCAGTTTCCCAAGGAGATAGCCCCAGACCTCCTTGGGGTACCTGTTGAGATACATGTACATGGGCGCACGGAACGGACTTTGAATGGTCCGCCGCAGCCGCTCTTCAAGGCCCAGAAAGCAGTCAATAAGACGCTCCTTGAATGCTTCGGCCGGCGGCGGCAGCAGATGAAAGATGTTGAGGATAGCCGTGATGACCTTCATCTGAGGGTGCTGTTCAAAGAAGGTGAACGAAATCTGTTGCCAGGCGTTCGGCTCCACAATGGAGTCGATCTGATCGAGCAACCGAGCCCCAATCTCGACCTTGAAGTAGCTTGTGAGCAATTTGAGAAGTCTGGAGAGATTGTCCAACCCGTGCACACTGAGCCTCTTAGGATCTGAAAGGCTCTGCAGGACTGGCCTAAGCCCGCCTTGCAGCAAGTCCTTAGGCAGGCGGCGGTCAACAGCCAGGACAGACTTCAGCGCATCGTTGGCAGCATCGATGGTTGGCTTCGACTCCGAATAGAGACACTTGAAGAAGACCGACAGGATCTTCCCCTTAGTAGGGCTGTTTGAAAACTCTTCAATGTTCATCGCAGTGCTCAGCAGCCGGATACAGGACACGCGCAGGTTGACAATGTGCTCGTGCGTCCGGAACTCGGCAGGCTTGTTTGCCAACGACTCGTCGTTCGCATCGGCAAGAGCCAACGACTCCATAAGAAGCCGGTTCAAATTGTCGTCAAACTTGACCCAGTTGTCCTTCAGACTCATGTGGTACGTCATGGCGTTGATGTATCCGATCTGGGTACTGAAGGGCAGAGCTCTCAATGGCTTGGCGTAGATGGGTTGCAAGAAGCGCTCCTTGTACGGCTCGACAATCTCCCACACCTGGCAGTCGGCCGCTTTGGCAATGAGCTCCAAAGATTGCTTGGCAGTCTCACGAACATGCTTGTTCATGTGAGAGAGCTCATTGTTTAACTGCATGCAAATCTGCGCGAGGCGCGGCTGTTTGACGGGGGGCTGTCCGGCCGGCTGCGGCACTGGCAAGGCGTCTTCCTTCTTGATGTTCTTGGTTATGCGTGTTAAGAGGACCTCAAGACTGGTCTGCGCCAAGCACCTAGTCTTTTCGGGCAGATCCTGAGGCATGTCTTTGATGACATACATGAGGGCACGGATGAACTCAGTCTGCTTCGAGGCCACCCATGCATCCCCAAAGTCCAGCTCCGTGAGCAAGAAGTTGATGCCGAGGCTGCCGCCAGTCTTGGTGAACCACTCCTCTTCGTAGCAGCTGTGGCAGAAGGTGCTGCAAAGGTGGCTGAATAGAGGAAGTCGCCCAACATTGTTCTCGGCACCAATTATGATGGCGGTGCTCTTGTAGAGCTCACGGATCGCGCCCTTGGCAGCTTCCCGTACGTCAGGATGGTCAGAGGCGAGGGATTCAACGATGGCCTCGGACAAGACCCGCGTGTCGATATTCAGCGGGCCTTCGCCAGCTTTGGGGTCGAACGGCGTGTACGTCCGCTTCAGGTCAACGAGTGCCCGTCCAACCTCAATCAGGGCAAAGTGCCGACAGACATCGAGAAGGAAGCCATCTGCATCATCCTTGAACTCTGGGATCGACTCGGCGAACATGACAGCCTTCAAAAGTTTCTTGGTGATGTCGTCTTGCTCATCCTTCTTCGCGATTGACTTGTCACGGTTTGACACTTCGAAAGGTGCAAAGTTGATGTCCAGCTTCCGAGCCAAGAAATCTTGGGCCTCGAGGCGGACGATTCTGGGCAGATCATCGGGCAGCTGATCGTACCCAATTCGGAGCTTGAGCTGCGCCTTGATCAAGTGCAGAGCCTGCTTCTTGTAGTACTCGTCGTTGTGGCGGTTCTGATTGGTCTTGCCGACTTTGGGGACCTCCATGAGTTTCGAAATGGCAAAGTCGATGCCCAGGTCGGCACGGAACGCGCGGTCTTTCTTAGAGCCGATGAGACGCACATCAAAGCTTGACGGATCGTCCGCGTATGCCTTATATGCCAGTGGCACAGCGCCAGTCATGAACTTGCGGTTGCGCCCGCCCAGTTTGCCAAGGATCCTCATGGTGGTGTGAGCGTGGAAGTGACTGTAAGGATGCGGCTTGAGATGATTGAAAAGAGCGGTCATGAGCTCATCGATGACAGGCGCCATGATGGGATCTAGGTAGTCCGCGGTGAGATTGTCCACGCACAGTTCCAGGGTGCGGAGCCCCTGGCCGACAAGCTCTGTGCCAGCTCGCAAAGCGACCACTAGAGGTCGCATAAGGAAGCTCAGGTGAGGGAGCAGATGGCTAAGCCGCGCGGGCACCGTCAGACACAGCTCCACGTACAGGTCTCGTTCGGAAGGTTTCCTCGCGGCCATGAGCAAGTTGTTGAGGACGCCGAGCAACATCTCAAGTAACGGCAGAATCTGCTTGTAGAGCTGCTCGAACTTGCCGCCGCCTATGCTCCTGAACAGACTGCGCAGCAGGAGAAAGTAGTTGATGGGCTCCTCGGCCTTCGTCGACAACTCGATGGACTTGGTCACGATGCTGACCACGTGAGGGAGGAGAACCTGCTCGTTTTGTCCGGAGAACAGCGTGACAGCCATAAATGCCAGCTTGAACAACCGCAACAATATTGAGGATTTCTTGACATCGGCGGATCCGACTTGATCGATGCGCTCCATGAGAAACTGCAAGAGCATGCCGCAAAAGCTAGGCGAGGTCGCCTCGCTCGCAAGGAAAAACTGGGGTATATGTAACAGCGCCGTGTGCTCGAAGATCATGTCGTAAAGTCGTGGAATCTCCTGCTGAAACACTTCGTGGAACGTTGCAGGGTCGATACAGTGAAAGACCGTGGCGAACGTCTCAAGCAGGTCTTTTTCCTCCTTACTGCTGGAGACCATGTAGAAGTTTGCCATGTACTCCACCGGAGACATGTACTGAGACTCGGTGGCAGGTTTCTCTATCTCGTAGTATCGGAAGACGTAGGCTCCTTCTCGAAACAGCTTGATGATGACGTTGACCTCCTCGGCTGTGAAGCCATAGGAGACATCCTGCCAGTGCGATGGTGCGTTCTGCGGGTCTATCGGCGTGCCGATGTTGCAAGTCCTCAGCTGGTAGAACGTGTTTTTAAGACCGTTCATGAGATTCCGGAAGAGGAACTTGTTGTCAACGACAGGATCGGCGCCTCGGTCGCGGGGGTTGGAGATCTTGATGGGAACAGCGGAGAATATGTCGGTCTCGTCCCAATCCGGCCGATTCTCCTTGTCCGCAAGGTACGATTCTGTCGTGCCCGTGTCGGCCTGTTGATGGTACTGCTTGGACAGCTTGACCGCATTTGGGTATTGACGATTCATCGCGGCAAACTTGTCACCGATGGCGTTCAGGATCATGATGAGATAATGCCGAGCATCAACCTTGTTGGGGAGCTTGGCAATGCACTCTGCCATGTTCAAGAGCAGCTTGGCGCTCATGGTCTGGAAGCTAGTACCAGGAAAGTTGTCCTGCAGGTTCCGCGTGTAGACCTCGACTGTCTTGCGAATCTGCTCTGGGCTCAAAGAATCCCGTACGTGGTGAATGAGGTCCGCCAACATGCTGTACGCCAGAGGACGCATAGTCTCGTATACCGTCAGCCCGTCGCCGGTAAGGGTCCGCTCGTCTAACAGCTCGTCAATCTTTGGCAAGAAAATCTTCCGAAAATTGTAATTAATAATATGTCGGATAGCGATGAGGAGCTCCTTTCGGGTACCAGACTTCTCGCGGGGGCAGTCCTTGAGCAGTCTGACGACGACATCTGGCAGCGTAGGCAGGAAATCGTTCAGTTGCGACGAGTATTGGCGCAAAAGATACGCCAAGAAGCTCATCGTCTTGACTTGGGCTGTGATGAACTCGCCAAACGCCGCCCTGTTCTTGACCGCGGGACTGACGCCGGTATGGATCTGACCTTTCGCCGCAGCATCGGCATGTGCTTGCTTCTGAGCACTCGCCTGGAGGAGCAGAACGTTCTTGATCAAGGGCACAAAAGCCTTGACGTTTTGCGACACCGTGTTTCGATAAATCTGGAAGATCGAGACAACGATGATTGGGCATTCAGACAGCACCTTGAAGGACTGCATGCCCTTCAGAAGAGGCCGGTTCTGCTGTTGGGGATCGGCCCCCAACTCTGTGACAGACGCCACAGGCGAGCCTGGCCGCGGCGACTGGAAGTTAGTCTGGGTGCTGCCGGGTGTCGACGGAGCCCCGGACTGAGAGCCGGCGGCCGGCGGCGCATTGTCGAGCTGCTCTCGCACGACCTTTTCCATCTGCTCGAACAGCTCCTGAATCAGTGAGAGGAACTGCTGGACCTTGCCCTGAAGGACCTTGTGCTGGTGTCTCATGATGTCTGACGTGACTTTGACGCACAATGTCGCATTGTCCTCGTTGTCCGTCCGCACGAGCTGCATGAGCAAGTCGCAGATCTCTTCGGCGAAAGGTTCGAAGGGCTCGACGGGGGCAGGGGCGGTGGGTAGCCGGTGGAGGACCTCTAGAATGCAGTGGCGGAGTTTCTGACGGACGAATGTTAGCCACAACTGATCGTGAGTGAGGGCTCCAGGTTCGGGTATGGGACTTGCCTGCTCCGGGGAGTTGCTTTGAAAGATGCATGGTCCACGCAAGATGTTGATGAAGATGGGCATGAGCCGCTTGAGGAATGGTGGATAGATGGGCCCGCTGGTATAATGGTCCAGGCTGTCGCGCAAAGTCGTCGCCGCTTCGAGCTTCAGTCTGATTTCTAGAGGGCAACAGTGTTAGCTGGGCAAGGGCATGGCGAGGGTATGCGACGACCGCCGCACTTCGCAACGCAACGTACCTGTGTCTGCGGAGCTAAGCCGTCTTACGACGTCGTCGATTGTGGTTCCCGACATGGCTGCATTATCGGCGTCCACCAGACGCTACCATTCCTCCCATTCGTGGGAGGGCCGGGGTAGAGCGGATGTGCGCTGGGGCGGGCGCCGAGATGTCGAGGCTGGCCTGGCCGGCTGTGGCTGTGGCGCGCGAGGCTGTCGCGACAGGATGACGGTCCGTGGGGGAGAATGGCGCGGCAGAAAATACGTCGTGGTGTGTAAAGTTAAGAGCCGAGTCGCCTAAGAAGTCAAGTTGGGGTGTTGCAGAGTCGGAGGCAATGTCGTGTTGCGTGGGTATCTCGGGTGCGATGTCTGCGTGCGGCGTGGATGCTTGTAGGCTGTAGCTGCCTCGACGTGCAAGTCGCGTTGAAAAATCACAGAACCTCGAATCCGGGGGCCGTGGCCGCCAATTCCAACTGCGCTAGGCGCCGCGAGAACAAAATTCCGGCGCTAGCGGGGTTCACGCCCCCACTGCGGGGAGTGGACGTAGCGCTCTCCCGTCCCGTGCCTGGCCTGGCTCTTATTGATAAGGCTGCCTTATCTTATCGGCCTGTGAATCCGACGTCGTCTCGAGCTTGGAGCTGTGTGCCGCAATGCTGACCATCAACACTCGCTTCGCGAGAGCCCAGCACAGCACTGTACGCCCCGAGACCGCAATATTGATTCCGCCTCACTGTATTAGTCAATATTGATGACCGCGCATTGGCTTGTGATCGCCATTTTTGTCCCTACGTGGCCAACGCGCAAAGGCCGCCGCATTATCGCCGGCCCCACCATCGCCGCCTCAAGCTCGAGGGTAGGACAGACTGCGGAGTCATCTACATAAGCCTGCGCCCTCTGCACTTCCGAACCTTTGAATTCTCTCCCTTGAGCACTTCGAACTCGACGAGAATTAGCACTGCGCCGCCGCGGGAGTTTGTCAACAGAAAAGCGCATCTGACACTTTGTTTAGAGCGATTCACCTTGGTAACCTTTGATGCTCTGCTTCCTTCGTTGCATCACCAGACACAGAACAAACAAGATGAGTGGAGAGCATACTGCGTTCTTCTACGGTACGTCACTTGATAAACGCCTCCTGTATCGCCTGTTTGTCTTGACTCACATACTTGCATAGGGGTTCTGGTAAAGATCCAAGTCGAACAAATGCGCGGTGGCGCTCTTCTGTGGATGATGTTAACGCCGTGACAGATGGCCCCAGAAATCTTCTACAGCGTATGCTATGGCACCAAGACACCTCCCGAAGCGATTCGCAAGCTGCACACGTTTACCCCGGCGATTCTCCATGACCACTGCCGCCATCGCGTAAAGTCCGCAGACTACCCTGCAGTGGTGCCTGAGAAGGGCCACAGCGTGAAGGGCATCTACGCCACCGGATTGACTGATGCCAACCTCGACAAACTGGACTACTTCGAGGGCTCTGAGTATGAGCGTGTCACTGCCCAGGTCGAGTTGCAGCATTCTTCCGACGGCAAGGAGGCTGTCCCTGCGTTCAAGGATGCCTCTGTCTACATTTTCCTGCGTCTGGAGCAGCTGGAGCAGCGTGAGTGGGACTTTGAGGAGTTTCGCCGCGACAAGATGGCACTGTGGACGAGGGGTGGCTGGGCATTCGACGAAGGTATGTTTTGCCAAACTGCATTGATGCATTCATCACTAATATCTCGCAAAGCTGCCGCTGGCGATGACAAAGCTGCCGTGAAGACGGCGGCTTGATTGTCTGAGCCCAGGCTCCGTGCACCCAGCTCTGACGGCTTTGCTGCTGCTGCCGCCTTCCGGGCCATCGGAACGCATGTCGTTATTTCTGTCTGCACGAAGCCACTATGCGAACACTCGGTACTCCATTTGGCATCAGCTACGAAGGGGTGATGCAGCATCACGAGGGATCGCGCGGGCGGGGCGTCTGCGAGTATTTATAGTCTCAGATACATACGAACGCTGGACGCAATTTCGTCCATCAGCCATGAGCAGCCACTCGTATCGTGAAACTTGACGTTGGCATGCAGCTTTCCGCGTTCCGTCTATGAGAGGCCAGCGGGCCAGCGCGTGCTTTCTTGACACTAGTACAGAGAGTGTCAGTGTCTTGTCACGCGCACCCGTGTCAACTTGGTCATTTTCTTGCACGGTTCGTGCAGCAGCATCGACCTGTCGGCTCGGCAGGTTTCCCGAGTGCAACTCGGACTTCAGACGGAAATTGAAGGAAAGGTTCAACCGCAAGACGTCAGTCTGAATGATACCCCAGGCACGTATAGTCGTGCCACAACGGCATATACCAAGGGTATATAAGTTAGTCGCCCACCTGAACCGCTCTTGGCAAAGACCCGGTCGGCCCATGTGGTGGAAACGTTGCAAAGGACCTTTCAGACTTGGCATGGGGCAAGCGGCCACGAGGCGGCGACACCGTAGCCCGTCAAATTTCCTGAACCAAGTTCATGCGAAGAGGGGTCAAATGTCAACGGGAGGATCCTTCATGCTGGCTGAAGCCAAGACGGGAAGCACTCCCGCCACGACCGGAATCCCAGACGGATAGTTCGGACGAGGAACCACGCGGAGAGAGGCGGGCAAATTTGTCCACTTGGTTCCACGGATCAAGGGCTGACTGTACTTCATGCAGGCGCAAAGCTCAAACAATAGACCCCCTCGTTGTATGGTACAGGCCCATTCGGTGCTACCCTGCAGATCATTCGACGGGTCGCTGCGCCGGTCTCGACAATCTGGTCGAGACATGACAGCGAGGGAAGTTTTCGGCTCATGGGCTTGGCAGACTGGCGGCTCGGTCTGGCGGTTCGGTCAGTTGACTCGCGTCGAGTCTCGTCAAGCGCTCACAGAGGCCAGTCACGACAACAGAGTGACCAGTTGGCGTGCCACCCACACAGAACCTGGCGGTTTGGATAAGCGCCGCCGCTCATCAGGCGCAGGTACAGAAAACAACGCACAAGCTATCCCGCAGCGTCAGGCACAGTTTGCGAACAGCCGTCGGCCGACTCCACGAGGCCATCCAATGAGCTGCCTTTGGCCGGTGCAAAGGCATTCATGCCTGAGTCGGACGGTGAGCCGGGCGCACCCTCCAGCGCGTTGGTGGCGGGGGGGG